TCCCTGAAAAATATATTTCCTTTATCTCGCCGCCCCATCTCCCCAAGATTCGTTTATAATACGGGGGTCATTTTGGATATATCTTGCTCTCGCTTACATAGCCTGGTCCTTCGTCAAAATTGCCGAGAATCGCAGAATTATGATACAGCTTGCATATGTAATTATTGGATGATGGAATGGAACTTTGTTTCTAATTCACGCAGAATCGTGACCTGTGTATAAGCCTGTGACTGGTCGAGCTGTACGTACAGGAAATTAGAACTCCTGATCCTGGATTAACGGAGATCTCTCACTCACACCAATTGTAGTACAAAAATGTCGGGTACACGTTATCCCGGACACGTGACGTCACAACCCACGTGACATTGCATCACGTCAGCGTGTATCATGGGGTCACGTGAGTTAGTGGTCACGTGGGTGCTGGTCACGTGGGCGCAGGTACCCGGAACGGTGAGGTGCTTGCTTGTTGAGCTATTATACTGACCATCCGGGTACTGCCCAACCTCCACTACACGTACTGCTCTGTCCCACCTTGCAACTACCAAACTGTACTCATCAGCTTTACACTGGGTGGGTGTACTCTGAAGATATGGGGAATGTAGAAAAGTATGCTCTGGAGATATGTGGAATGTAGAAGAGTATGCTCTGAAGATATGGGGGATGTAGAAGAGTATGCTCTGAAGATATGGGGAATGTAGAAGAGTATGCTCTGAAGATATGGGGAATGTAGAAGAGTATGCTCTGAAGATATGGGGAATGTAGAAGAGTATGCTCTGAAGATATGGGGAATGTAGAAGAGTATGCTCTGAAGATATGGGGAATGTAAAAGAGTATGCTCTGAAGATATGGAGAATGTAGAAAAGTATACTCTGAAGATATGGAGAATGTAGAAGAGTATGCTCTGAAGATATGGGGAATGTAGAAGAGTATGCTCTGAAGATATGGGGAATGTAGAAGAGTATGCTCTGAAGATATGGGGAATGTAGAAGAGTATGCTCTGAAGATATGGGGAATGTAGAAAAGTATGCTCTGAAGATATGGGGAATGTAGAATAGTATGCTCTGAAGATATGGGGAATGTAGAAGAGTATGCTCTGAAGATATGGGGAATGTAGAAAAGTATGCTCTGAAGATATGGAGAATGTAGAAGAGTATGCTCTGAAGATATGGGGAATGTAGAAGAGTATGCTCTGAAGATGTGGGGAATGTAGAAGAGTATGCTCTGAAGATATTGGGAATGTAGAAGAGTATGCTCTGAAGATATGGGGAATGTAGAAGAGAATGCTCTGAAGATATGGGGAATGTAGAAGAGTATGCTCTGAAGATATGGGGAATGTAGAAGAGTATGCTCTGAAGATATGGGGAATGTAGAAGAGTATACTCTGAAGATATGGAGAATGCCGGAGAGTAGGTTAAGCTACCAGATAAGTTTCTTATTTAGAACATAACATCTATCAATTGTTTTCTGTCGGAGTTTTACATTCACCTGAGAAACATCGGCTTTGAAGTGCCGACACTTTGAATATTATAATGTCAAATCCTGGAGATCTGTTCCGCAGAATTCCTGAATCAGTACCACTCAGATACATTTGCTTTGTGTTGGCAATAAGTTAACAATAAGAAAATTGAACTAATTAATGTTCGCTCAGCTAATGCAAATGCACTTTTACAGCAAATCAAATTTCTCAGCCCTGATTCTAGTAAGCTAGTAACTCTTGTCTTTTTGACTGAACTAGCTAATGGAGAGGTGTGGCGGCGATGCACAACTCAATTATACAATACTTCACAACTCTGATATATCATGCATCTTGATCAAGTAAATTTTGAGCAAAGTACGTGTATTGCCTCCCTGTCGACAGTAGTCACATTTACATAAACACGCCCTGAACAAGCCTGTCGGTTACACCGCCTTTTAAAACATTTCCTTGTGTGTTGACATGAGCTGAAAGTTGAATAATGTGTACTTCTGATAGGTCAGCTGATGCTAGTCTCTCTCTCTCTCTCTCCCTCTCTCTCTCTCTCTCTATCAGTTGATAGAACATCAAGCATTTTTCCTCCCCCCACGGAATGCAAGCTCAGTTTTGTCACTGTACTACGTAGATTTGATGTCAGAAATCAGAATGTTGTACTGTATGCCGCATATTATATTATATCGTTTTCTGGTAAATTCCAACATTCTTTTACAACTCGCAACTTTGAAGGACTAAGTTTAATTGGAATCTGGTGAACTCGACTCGGTAAATTTACATATTGCCTCCCCCTACTAGACTTTGTAATACCAGTTAGACCATGCAACGAGTATTAGAGAGCGTGTGTGTCGGAAAGTAATAAAGTAGTACGACATCTCAGATCTTCTTTAGAATTTTTAGAATTTACTATCAGTATGGAGCCTAATATGTATTGACACGTGATATTATGGTATGCTTCCCATTGGTGGGAGTACTGACACGTGATCCTTTATATTGTGTTTTACTCGTTGAAGTTGCATTTCTACTATTTTCTGGGACTCCCTAATGTTTCGGCCAAAACTACAATTATCGTATTAGAAATATCTGTAAAAACTATATCATCTCCGGAAAATGATCCAGAATACATGACATTGAGGTCAGGCTGGCTGGAATGTAAGCAAACAATCAGGATACATTCCTTAAATTCCTTGTGTGAACCAACTCTGCAGAATTGTACAATGTATTAAAATCATACCCCTATACATTACACAAAAGACAGTCTCAATAGTCAATACATATAGCATTACAGTAACTGTACAGTAACTGCTCATGTTGTACAATACGATCTGTTAATATCAAAACTTTTAGAGGTTTTTCCCCCAGTTGTATTGGATCTTTAAAGTATGTTAAAATGATGGTAATATAAGAGTCAAGATAACTTAAACTTTTCAAGATACAAACTTATAAAGTAAGACATTGGAAAATTAGATGGGTTAAATCCGTGTATTATTCCTTGCCTTGAGTGTTAAGGGCTTTTAGCTTTTTAGCCAGGAGACCTAAGTTAAGAGGTTAATCAGGTTAAAGACAATTTTAGGACCATTCGATGTATTTGTTTTAACTGTGTATAGCATTTAAATACAAAGAAAAACACTTATCATAAGTATTTAGTTAACTGTAATGAGAGAGAAGTCTCCCGCTGACTAAGCCAGTCTAGTTTAACTCTCAACAAGAAATCATTGTAACCACCTCGTGTACATATCCATGTAAACAATTTATAAACTATCAACATTTGTAAACAGTTACATGAACAATGGGTATCCATAATATTATAAAATATATTAATTATGTACATATTATTGTATATGAAATATTATATCAAAAATAATCCCTAATTTCCAGTTTCATCACAGAGAGATGTCTAATTGAAACCCGATTATAGACTAGTTAAATCGTTAAATAACGAATACAGTCGGGTTCAAATTCCTAACTGAAATTAGAAACGCAGAGCTCCTCCAAACAGTCCACCTACCAATCAGGGACTTTAAAGTTACTGTCTTTAACACCACGTGACACAATCAATACTTCTCCAGTGATTGGCACATTCCATACTTCCTGATAATGTCCAATCCTGGGAATCTGATCCGCTGACAATGGCTCACCAGTAATGAGCACACTATTGATAGGAATGAGCACTACATGTAATATTATGTAGACATCAGACGTTATGAGAATGTGTCTTCTCTCTCCTATTATTGTATACAGTTACATACATAATATGCGCAAGGTTATTGTCATCATACATTATATACATGTAAACTGGGCATCGTTGGTGATTTGCGTGTTCGTGTAGAATGTGTATGTGTTATTGTGTGGAATTCATCTCTGAAAACCCACACTTGAATATGTGAAGGTTTCCCGTAATATATGTGTAATAAAAGTTTTAGGGAAGTCTGTAAAATTTCAAAAGTCTGGGCAGAATTGTTTTTGCAGGGTTTTTCATCAGACTGTTTGTTGATTTTTGGGATTCTTTACTCACAACATGCATGATCGCTCTCTGTACAGCCCCTGACTTTATTCCGTGGAAGAACCCAAACAAAGTTTGCCGTATTGTCATAGTTAATTATTAATGTGGCTACATATCCTAATTTAATTTGAGAGGTCGTGGACGGGCGCCGAAGAGGCTGGCAGACCCACTCAAAATTAGGGCATTGTAATTCCCTAATGAGAGTTTAAGATGGTCAAATATGGGAACCGCTGCCTGGAAACCGGTACACCATTTCTCAGATAAGACAATTCTAATTAATAACTCCCTCTCATGGTCTACACTTCTAAAATTTCCCGCAATGAACATCTTTGGAACTGCGCCAAAATAGCCTGGTTTCTTTTTTGGTGCAAGGTAAGAAATCGCATTACGCTTCAATTGAAGTGTCTCGGGATTTTGGGTACCATCTGGCCTGATAGGTTATTATATAATATCTGAACCCCTCGAAAATGTTTCATTTCCATGGAAGGAGCATATACGAAGTGTGCAATTTCAAATGGAATTTGCCCGAGCTGTAATTAGATTTGCCATCTGAACTAGGATTTATGATAAAGTGTTATATGTAGCCCTATAAGTTGACCAACCTGACCTCCCCTCTGTACATAAGAGTTGTGGTTTTATCGCTAAATGATAACTTGATTTAAAACGTTGCATACAGCCGTCTTGGCAATTCTTTTCTTTCGCTTCGGTACCTCCAAGAGGAACTAGTCACTAGATAATTATATTACTTCATGATATTAAGTCCGCACTAATTATGATAAATCTTTTCATCAACTAACATCAATAAATGGTTGAAGAATCTCTCGGGGGGAAAAAAAGCTAAAAATGCAGAAATCAGGGATTGACATGAATCCTTTAATTTGATATTCTTTGTGACATGATACGGGCGAGTGAACCCCGCGACGTCAAGCCCGTTTATCGAGACGGTCAAGCTCTCCGAAATAGACGCAGCAGAATTAGCGTCTATCAAAACTTAGCGCTATTATTATCATTATCATTATAATTTTTCAGGCTACAACACGCACATAGTGGATATTGGGTCGACCCATGATTCAGACTTTGCTTCCACTTGGAGGAGGCACGTAGCAACGTTAATAGTTAAAAGTAAAGTCTATAATGAGGTGAGATTGCTATAATTTTCTTCATTAAGCAATCTCTCGAAACGTACTATCGGGAATATATAATAACTTTACAGTTAGTCACCAATCCGTAAATCCATGACTATGAATACTAATCGGGCGTCTCCAACTAGTCTTAACTCCGCAGGAATTCTACGGTAGTAATGTAGTAATTATACTGAAAAGTAAAAAGTCGATAGAGTGGACGATTGATACGAGTGCTATGGATGGTCGGGTGATGGTCGTGGTAAGCTCTCGTTTATTTACATATTTTAACCACGCGGTTTAACTTATATAATTAGAACTTGAACTCATTCTATGAGGGTAATTTTTGCTGGCCTCATTACCCGCCAAACCTCAGCTATCATGCAGGTGCAATTCTACACTACTATTTGCTACATATTTCTTTGTCACTGCGTTTATTGTGCCCGCACAAACATGACATATAAATGTTCTTGCTCTACTACGACCACCTTAGGTGCTCTCAAGAACTTGCAAATTTCTCTACTTTGTGGAACGCGCGGAGCGGAGTCAGTCACAAAAAGGACGTTGTCCGCGCAGTAACAACCCTGCAAATTTTGGAAAAATGCGCGCGAGGTTTTCCTTTGCCAGATTTTGATAATTGGTACATAGAGGATGCGGTTGAGGGCGCGCTTATGCTTTGACCTAGCGTTATTTATAGAGATGACAAGTTGCAATTTGCAGTAAACTTAACCCGAACATGTCTAGAGCTGTAGCATGAAGTATGTTTGTTTTATACTTTTACTTATCTGTTCTACAGAATTTTCTAATCAACAATCATCATTTATTTCAGACTAACGGCAAATCACAAACGCCAAACCAGTCGAATCTCAACATTAACATTGTTGGTATCAACGATCTGCCGGACAGACCTCCCCAAGAGTTTATTGATTATGTTTCTAGAACTTATGGAGCGGTAAGTAATATTTTTATACATACTGCAACTGGATAATTTGGTGATTTGTAGAGTAAAGGTGTATTCTGAAACTTATCCGAAAATCGTCTCATTGTGTGAGTGAGATAATTTGGTAAATGGAACTGTATATGTCTACGTCTACACAAATGACTTTGAAACGGAGACAATATTGAGTTGATGCAACTTCTAATCGGTTTCACTTGTTGACAAGGTATGCCAAAATCGTAGTATCAATTGACTTCAGGTCGCGTCGTATACAAAAGCAGAGATAGCGAATCAAGTGGTGATCGAAGTGCCAGAAGTGGTAATTCATACGAGCCACACGAACGTTACGGAGCCACCTCGAACCGAGCCCCCTCCTGACATTGACGAAATAGTGGCTGCCATAGACGGCCAAAAAACGGTAAATCCATGCAACTTCCATCCTGATAAGATAATACGATTTTAGGGAGAATTATTCCAGAAATTACACTGGACTTATAATCTTATTATCGCGGCTCCGATTGTATTTAAATTAGCTTGAATCACACTGATAACACTGTTATCTCTATCAGGTGAACTGTTATCGAGCGAAAGTGACAGTCTCCTGGTCTCTAATGCTCCTGGAGAGGCTTTCTGTTGAGGATGTTTACTTCACAGAGGACACCCAGGGTACAGATGACTGTGGTCTCCAGATGATAGCTTCTCAGGGAACTCTGCTCAGTAGTTACGATCAGTGTGGTTTTACTGCCACTCATCACGAGTATTCCAGTGTGTACGAATCTAAGATTACTGTGGTGTTAAAAGATGGTCGTAGTCGGGAGGTGGGTTATTTTAATTTAATTTTGGGGTTTGCATTAAAGGACCAGTTAACTGAAAAATTTGTAGTCTCCAATTTGGCTAAGATTTAAATCAGCTGTGACAAACTGGTAAAGAATCGTATCGCCGAAAGAACCAACTCTCTAGCGTACGTGTAACGCGTGTTATTGCAATAATAAGCTGTGGCCGCGTGACGTCATAAAGTCCCTCAGTGCGCGCTTGCATAGCGTAATACAATTCACAAATGTTTATCATCGTCAATAAAACACGTGTAACTCACTCAAATTTTAGAGTTATGACTATTTCCCTAGTTCTACAAAATCCTTATAGTTTTGGCTATCACCCTAACTATATGAATAGCTGATTGGATGTACAGTGCTCACGTCAGGATTTTAAACAGTGACAGAAGTTCTTGAATAGTGGCGGGTGAATGTACGGTTAGAAAGTTTCTGCTATTACAAGTTATGTCATATGTGATAATTTTGGATTGTTTTCATTGCTTCATTACAAACGAAGGGAGACTGTACCGATTATTTTTCCCCAGTACATGAAACTAATACACAAAATAATGTGCTATATATTAAATATAGCTGATCAGAGTGTAACTCTGTAATATAATATTACAGTTGTTCGGAAGAATGCGAGCAGTCGAATGGTTCGCTGTCCTAAAAGACATAGTTCTGAGAGCAATTATATTTTTAGCATAGCGAAATTTCTTACTTTAATCCACACGTGCCAGACAGTACAGGAGACAAGAAGTCTGGCTATTTTACGGCCGTTCCCATGGGACCATTAGTAGAAGTAGCTCCTATCAGAACGGTGCCGTGGGAACCGAAAAATACCCGGTCTACTAAATACTGATTGGAGTGTACAGTGTGCGGAGTGTTTTGAATTTGACTTACCTAGTTATCGTCCTACTTGTATGATCATAAAATTAAATACCAAGTGCAAACGTGTTCAGTCAATCGACCCACTGAACAACTATAGAATTTCCAAGACCCTATTATTCTTTGGCCATATATATTACGGCACGATCGATTCTTAGATGGCTAAACGACAAACGTTAATCTATACAATTCTTAAACTATGAGATAGCACTTTAATCTAAAAATACAGTTTTTATATTACTCCTGATTTTTACATTTCAATTTTCACGTAAAACATTGTAGCCATAGGTTGATCATGGACACTGACAGCTTAATTTTAGATAATAATGATTTATGAGTTTCTCTAAAGTTAACTCTAAACTTGTGTAGTCCAGTCATTTATGGACATTTATGGAATTGAACCTGCAAATTTTCGTATACTCACGAAATTTTGCAAAGACCTTCCCAAAAGTATGAATAAACGATTTTCGGTTGGAGACATATTGACCACGCCGATATTGACCCAATAACGTAACCGACCCTTTGCTTCTGAAGGTCGTGGAGACTTAAAAATAAGCTTAAACGAAGCCGCATATGCAAGTTTATATAGGAGTTATTGGGCAACACATGGCCTGAAATCCTTACTTTTCGAGAAATTCGCCAAAAACCATTTTGGGCGTGGTCCTGAGCCCATTTTCGATAGGATCGTGATAGAGTCTTTAGACAGGGTGCAAAAGAACCGCAATTAGCATATTAATATATGACTTACGAAGAAACAGATGCCTTAAAGTGCTTACTTTTTCAGTTATTGGCGAAAAACTGATTTCCGGTTCCAGAAATAATGCAAAAATATGGGTATCTCGTAAATTGGGGTATGAAGGCCCTACAGATTTTTGAATGAGTGAAAATTGTGCAGAATGGCCATGATTATATACAACTTATGAAGCAACATGTACCCTAAAACACTTACTTTTCGAGTTATTTGGGGGAGAAACATTGTATTATGTCCATTTTTACCTGTAAAATACAGTCTCACGAGCTGCTCTGTGCGCGCAAGGGACTTTATGACGTCATCGCCAAAATAATACAAACGCTAATTACACGCGTTAGAGAGCAGTTAGAGATTTAGGAATTTCGACTCGTTGCTCAGTTTGCTATTTGTTACAATCTGTCAAAATATGAGGATAACTTTTTTTTCAGTTAACTGGTCCTTTAATACTGTATGTTTGTATGTGGAAGGTAGATTATACAAATTTTTATAATTTCATTGTTGAGTGTCGCAAAAAATAAATAGTTGAGCGATTTACAATATTTTGATTTCAACAAAATATCAACTGTTTTTTTCTCAGATTAGCGTTCAATGTCGTATCTATAATACTACGAAGATCGAAAAGGCTTCAATCGACAGTTTGTATCGGTTGTCTATATACGACAACGTTGATTTCGAGACGGAGATTAAATCCTTCAATGTAACTGACAATGGTTATGTCTACTTTAAAGCTAATTTGGAAGAAAGTAAGTATTGTGCCCAAATTTCATTAAATTTAGTAAAGTTATTTACTTACCTTATTTGTTAGTCCTAATAAATGCTCAATAAAACATCACCTGCATTGCCCGATTACACGATCTAACGTTACAATCATTTCAGTCGGCGACCCCAGCATGTCAGCAGTTGTGGAAGAGTGTTTCGTTTCACCAACTCGTGATAATATCCTGGACCGACACGTCCTGATCTCCCAGACCTGTCCTCTGGACTCCTCAATCCACTTCCTTAACCAGAACATGATCGGCGTCAGGGACGAACGGTGCCAGAAGATCAAGTTCAGGATCAGCAACTACTTCATGAACAGCAACAACTATTTCCTCCACTGCAAAGTTTCCATGTGCAGCAACATTATCACTCCTGATATCCCCAGAGTAAGTCAACTTTCTCAAAAGTTTATTAATTTTTGAGCCTAAATTTTTCCCCGATGCCCGGAATTACAATCCCCTCTAATGCAACATGACGTACTAAATATTTTACCCGATCCTCAAACCTGCTACCTAACGACTCAAATTACCAGAATATTAGTTTATTATAAGACACATATTCTTAAAAGTGCTGCAACCCTCACGAGACCACATAAAATTGACGCTCCATGGATCACGGATGCCACATTTTAAAACCTAATTATCGCGCGCTATAATGACATTTTCTCTGTTGATAAGTTTGCGTCTCATGAAGTTTGTAGGCCCCCTCTAATAATTGTTTTATCCAGAAACCGACGAATATTATCTTACTCAATTAGGTTAGAAAAATAAATATATGTATGGCGTCAAGGTTTCATTCCGCATATTTTTACTGTGGTACAAGTAAATTGGAGAAACTGAGGTGGGTCATGATTTAGAAAGCCATAAAAGGGATAAAACTGTAAATTATTCGTAAGTAAGGTCATTCTCAGCATTTTGTAACTTTCTCAGACAATGAAACCTGGAAATCATTCGAGCTTATCAGAGAAAATGCCTCATAACTTAATTAAGAACGAAGTGTACAATTTACACCTCTCCACCCATTGCATTTAATCGTATTTTCATTGAGGGTAATTAAGTTTAATGTAATTATTCACAAGGATTAACCTCTCATACTCCCATATCGCTCCTTCATCACGCGACCCACTGATAATTCTGATATCCCGTACCAAAAATCTCGTGTCTCGCCGTATAATAACCGATGTAAAATTTATACCAGAATTTCCATTCATTATATTCCTACCTATGCTATGGTGGTTCATTGTACATGGTAATAACCCCGAACGTTTCAGTGCGCAAGTTTATATCAGATGTGTAAAAGAGACCCACCCGACCCCCGGTCCTCAGAGCCGTACCCCGAGATTATAACAGAGTACGAACAACAGTACATCCTAGCGGGACCCATATACCTGCGTAACTTCACCAATACTTCCGGGGAACCCGGAACTGATATCACGAGTGTTCCGGGCGATGGGCCTTGTAACGATATCATCAACACTTCCCCACGAGGTGATTATTAGCTTAGCTTTTCATTAGTTTTTAAGTCGAAATCAAGTCTTACTCTTACTACTGCTGTTTTCCAAATCTTATTATTTAGCATTATATTCCACATTTTTATTTTTATTTTTATCAATAACCCTGGACCGTAACAGCTGCTAACTCACACTTCTGTTTAGGTCGCAGCTCTATCAGTATGGGGCTACTCATCGGCATCGCCCTCGGCTCCTTCGCACTGGGAATAATAGTGACAGTCTTCACGATACACTGCGTGTCCCTCTCCAAATCTCGCACCAAAGTGCCCCCCACCGATGTGTTCAGGTTCGAGAACCGCCAGGTTGAAAACCTTTACGAACCAAGCAATCACATGTACGAACCAATCAAACTGTACGACGTGTGCCCCCAAGGTCACCATCTTAATAGGACTACAGAACCGGAACAGTCACATGAACCGGTGTGAAGCCCCCGCACGCAATTAGTGCACAATTATCACATGTCCTGGTTAATTAGAGCAATTAGTCGATTAATCAGATAAAGAGTTGAGATGATATAATAGCCCCGTTTTTACGTTAGATAGAAGGGATTGATGTTTCTCCCTCCATATTATCAACCACAAGAAGTGCTTTAGAAAAGCCCCACAGCTCATCCAGCCCCGGCTCACTGATACTCAAATTATTTGTATCTAGGGTAATAAATCTAGGGTAAGCAATTTCTAGTAAATGACCTTGAATCCCATGCATATGCTGTCCTGCAAAACGCATATGCCTTGCAATTACATATATGTTGCGTAAATTTATTACGAATTTTGCATTATGCAAAATGTTGTTAACAACAACAACCTCGAATCCTCAGACTCGTATCGCACGAAAGTCTGTGCCGTACGCCCACCTTCTCCTTCCTAACTTAAATCCTTTATTTATGACGAATGTAATTCGTTTGTTGATAGTGTAGCTGAAAGAGCTTTGAGGTGTGACCTGTGTATTTAACTGCCTGTTTATTTCTTAACTAAACCCATGTTTCGTTTGCTAACCGGAAAGTATAATTTCTGTTTATTCTGTATATTTCGAATAGATTGATTTTGTGTGTGTCACAGTGCAGTATGGCGCTGTTACACCTCCCAATACCCATTACCTTGACTTGAATAGAATGGTTATTTGATTGCTGAAAATTTTCATGTTAACTTGAAAAAAAGAAGAAACTGCCGTCAAGTTTTGGCGGAAGTTCGAAACGATTAGCTTCTTTAGATAATCACTAATAAGTTTTTGCTGTGGTTTTTAAGGTAATGGGTATTAGATTCTTACAGTGAATCCATGATTTTCTATCATGAATAAAATGGCAACCAGTTTGCGATGCTTTTATAGAACGTTACTATTCTCTGGTCTGCTCTAGAGAGATGCGATGTGCTGATTGATTAGGATAACTCCCGGAAGTTGAACTTCCGCGCCTACATTTCTTCAAAATTCCTGTAACTGTGTTCGCTCGCATCTCTTTACATACTTGTCTAATATTTTCTAAGATCTACAGTTTTGCGTTTTGATTTCCATATAATGTTTGTTTTTAATGGTTTTTGACCCTAGTAACATTGTTCAAAATCTTACGTTCATTTCTCGTAGTGGCGTCCTTAAATATGCTAAAACACGTACAAGATCTAAATGTTTCTTTTGAACTTGACCTATCTATGAACTTCATCCCAAAATTTCACCAAAATTCCACCTGAAACTATAATTGAAACAAATTCCAAAAACAGATACCTCAAAAGAAACATTTCCTCTTGTCTGAAATTGAACCTAACACCTGTGTAGAAATAGTTGACTGTGATTTGTATATATAAGTACTGTGTACAGCACATACTATTATATATTAGGAAAATGCCATGAGACCTGATTTTTGTACCGTTATATATATAGAGAGAGAGTTCAACCTACTTGTTCTAAAGTTTTGTTATCTGTAAGCGAATGAACTTTTATATATGAGTATGACATGTTGGACTCGCCCGGGCAGTATCTTTTACAGTTGCGTGATTTATTAAACCCACTTTTTGTTCTTTAAGTAAAAGTTAAATAGAGCATGGAGCTCTCGTTCGTTTATTCGTTTCCTTGAGGATTATAGTTTTAGTGAGGGATAGTATATATTACAATTGAAAAAGTAAACTTCACAGAAAAAAGGAAGTATGTGATTAAAGGAAATATAAATATATAACAACATTAATTAAAGGGCCAGTGTTACTCAAAGTAGTCCGTTTCTGAATTCTTTCATAGATCTTTCCTCCTGAACTTTTACTGTTTCTCATTGTTTGGAAGAGAGTTACAAGGTTTACTGCATCCAATACATGCAACGATTTTTAATTTATTTTTGTTAAACTGCTCAATGAATGAAGACTGTGTACATATGATGTTTTATATTATCGTAAAAGTTGGTTTCATTTTTCGTATCATAAAAGTAACTCCTCAATGAATTGCAATTATAAACCAGAGATGTCGATGAAAAATTAAATACGATTACAAAATGTAAAACTGATTTTAAGAGGCGACTGTCTTTATGAAGGAGCAAGGTTAAAATATATTCCCAATGTTAATAGGACATCATAATAAAACTATAAGTCGTTTGCATCAAAATATTTGCAAACGAATTAAAATACAATTATTAGCTGAAATGAACTTGGCAGCTCCATTTCTGATTCGTCAAATATTACTCTGTTTTATTTCTACATTCTAGAGCTTTAAAAGTGGCAAAAGTTACACAAAGGGGTTATAAACTCGACGTACTCAGAGATAGCAGTTAACCAACATACCAGGACTTGCTCTAACCAGAGCCCTGTCCCCTGATCTCGCTTCCAGTAACGCAAGACCGCTTACTGGGCCGCGCTCAGCCTGTCATTCCGCCAAATCTTTATTGTTAATAAACATAATAGCCTGGGGTCCTCAGGTAAAAGACCGCCGGAGGCGGCACCTTATTCTATTTGTGAAAAAAGCGCGTCACGCAGTACGCGTAGACACATGGCTATGTGAATACTAGGACCGGTTACCGAACTTTAGAGGAGTCCCGAACCCGCGGGGTAGCCACGCCCATATTTAGTCCAAATTAGGCCCAATTTAGCCAAATACCTTGACGGATGTTACTCGTCTAAATTTCTTCGAAGTAGCGCGCACCGCTTTCTTTTCTGAATATTATATGGCCCGAGGCCGATGGCAAGTGCTACGAAGTAGCGCGCGCCGGGCCAAACCATTAACAATGGTTTGTATGTTTACAACCTACCAGGACGCGCGCCGAGTTGGACTTGACATACGTTGCATGCCACTTTTCGCGCGCCGCCGAAGGGATACGCCGAAGGGATACGAAATTACATGTATCAAAGTTGGACTCGTCGACGGTTTTGGAACAAATATATGGCATGGAACAAATATATGGAACAAATATTTTACGAGTATCACCGACCGTTAAACAATGGTCAACCAAATACCGCTGAACATGATCAAAACTAATTTCGGCCAGCACAAAATTCTCCAAAAAAATGCGTAATATATTAAGTAACCACTAAACTTCCCTTGATCCAATTTTAACAAAATTTGATTGGCTTACTCATCACTCATAAACTTCGCTCCTACTAAATCGCTCGCCCAAATTTTAAGAAAATTCTTGTGAAAAGGCCCTTTAGGCATGAAAGTGATCTAGATCGGTGTATTTTTGGACGCTGATTCCGAATCACCCCCATGACGTAGGGTTAAAATGCTTCCCTGGAGAGTAATGGGCAAAAAACCGTTTTGGTCACGTGACAGGCTTACCTGGGGACCTCAGGCTATCATGTTCATTAACATAAATAAAGATTCGGCGGAATGACAGGCTGAGCGCGGCCCAGTAAGTGACAGGCTAGTAAAACGTGAATTCGATTATTTAGGGCTCGGGTTAGGGTTAGGGTTGTGGTTAAGATTATGGATAGCTTCGGGGTTATGGTTAGGGTTAGGGTTGGGATTAGGGTTTATGTAAAACCGTTTTTTACGGCTGCAAAACCAAAAAAACCAAAGTCACGTGAAATTTTTGGGCGAGCGATTTAGTAAAAGCCCATAAACTTACATGAAAACTGTCCGAAAAAGTTATAAAGCATATTCAATTGTAGGTATTACAACTTACCAGGACGCGCGCCGAGTTGGACTCGTCCACGGTCCAATATATGGAACAAATATTTTACGAATATCATTATTATTATTAAATCAAAGTTCTAAACAAGGGATAGTTTAAAAAACAACGCCCAAGTCTAATCTTTCCCTAAAACAAAAACTAAGAATTAAAAACTTCATTGCAATTTCCGCCAATATCTCTTGTCATAACTCAAATTACGGAGATAATGCAGGTCAAAGATATTATTTAAATAAAGATTTCTTTTACATAAATCATGCACGAATATCACCCGTTAAATATTCAACCATTAATGATTAAACATTATGTTGTTACTGGGCGGAACTCAGCCTGTCATTCCGCCGAATCATTATTATTATTATCATGTTTATGAACATAATTGATAATAGCCTGGGGTCCCCAGGTAATTTATGTTGCAGCTAAAAGCAGCTTGATTGACGATGTTAATCCATCGAGATTGTTGCTCTGCGAAGCAGAGCAACGATCGACGACGATGAAGCAAGATGAAGATGACGATGAAGACGACGATGAAGTGAAAAGTTTGCGTGGCGCGTCGAAGCGGCGAAGTCCTCCAAAAAGCAGCGTATTTTGCTCCATTTTGCCCCATTTTCATCACTATATCAACTAGAACTGATCCGATATACACCAAATTTTTTGGACATAGACACTTGCAAAAGCCCTATTACTATTAGAAGTTCCTTTGTATCACGTGGTGACCCCCACTGTCGCTTCACTATAGTCTTCGACGATACTGGGGGAGCCGCGCACTTCGTGCGCGGCGGGTCATACAACGTATGACAAAAGTTCCTCACAAATTTTCAAAGTGATCTTTTTCAAGGAACAGAAGATATGACAAAATAATTGCTCTATCCAGAGCCCTTGCGCTTGCAGAACACAGTAGCGCGCGGCCGCCTCACGGCGGTAAAAAGGGCTCTAGCCACCAACCCACCCAACAATTTTGGCACCACTTATATAAGGTGCCAAAATTTCCCGCGCTTTTGTCCTCATATGCAACATATGTAGCCTTTCAGACATTGATTGCGTAAACGAGGAGTCGTACGTCACCTCAAGATCGGGTGACAGGGGGCTGACTATGCCCGAACCTAATTGATCATTGATTGGTTCTGAGGTCACGTAATTATGAGCCTATGTGCTATGAGGTCACGTGACTATGACGTCACCAGACCTTGTCCTCCCTTCTCCGCTCATTGGACCAGGTGAGCTTGCATGCTTGTGAATGTAGGTGTAAGTACAGCTGTATTGTAGTTTATACCTAATTAACCCCTACTATACACTGTCACTATGCAGTATGCACTATAGTTACTGGGCCGCGCTCAGCCTGTCATTCCGCCGAATCTATATTTATATGTTAATGAACATGATAGCCTGAGGTCCCCAGGTAAGCACTATAGAAACCTGAAAAGTGGTTACTGCATACTGGAGGGAGAAGTGCCAAGACTACCTGCGCTACATAAACGCTGTTGTCAGCACTGCGTGCGCGCACGAACCTTTCTATCGGGGTTCGTGGATAGGAGCTTTTCTTGACTTGTGAAACAAGCGCGCCCGAAGTTTTGCAAAAGCACATGGTTATTAGGTGAAACAAAATAATAAAACAAAAATCAGCGAATTTCGTCAAATTATGCGACTTTTACACCTACTACTTTTTTGTAGGTTTACAACCTACCAGGATGCGCGCCGAGTTGCACTCGTCGACGAATATATGGAACAAATATTTTACGAGTACCACCCGTTAAATACTTTTCACTTTTGCTCCAAAAGCCGCGCACCATCAAATATGGCACTTAGGCGAAACTCACTAATCATTTCAAAAATGGATGACAAATTTGGTACTGTGAAAATTCTCACAGTCTCTAGAAAACAATGCACAATGGTACACTGAATGATCAGTGAGTTTTGCCTAGGTGCCATATTTGATGGTGCGATGCTTTTGCAAGCTATAATTAGGTGTAAAAGTCGCGTAATTTGACGAAATTCGTTGATTTTTATCGTACTATTCTGTGATATTATTACCCCCTTTTGCACAGTTCTTCAGGAGTGTTTCCCTTCATGTTTTCTGTTCCTTAGACCAAACAGGGGCGTGAGCTGCCCGCCCTAGCTACGGTACGAGAAGCAGCGGCAGTGTGTGATCCGGTTATAAAGAGTGTTCTTGGAACAACAGCACTCTGCTTGGCTGCACTGTGACAGTGGGAGAACATTAGTTCATGTCACCTAACGCCCGCTTAACCTTGGCAGCCCCAAGGCATCTGGTTGGTGATGGTTCCCAGGGCTTTTTCAGTTGGAGTCGGCTGTTAAGTTTGTCCTGTAAATTCTTGACTTAAGAAAGGAAATAAAATATATAACATCACATCCAACACTTGGATTCATCCCAACAGTATTATTTCCCCTGATATAACACCGTGTAATAAGTCAAGATGTCTCACCTGTAAACCATTCAGGTCAAGTAATATTTTCACCAGTTACGTTACTAATAGCAAATGTATAAAGTGTAATGAGGCCTGGGATTGCTACAAGATTCAGAGAAATATTAGAAATAAATTAGCTAAAACCTGCAAAAAGGCTAATGTAATCGATGATCTACAAGTTAAAAGTGCCAAGAATGATCTTAAAGGGATATGGAAAACTATCAAACTGGCATCAAATATGACCCCTGGTACAACTAATTGTCAAACTATCAATGAGAATGATCCTGAGCTATTTAACTTTCATTTTGCAAATGTTGGATCAAGATTACAAAATCAGGCCCCCAATATTGAAAGAGTTAGTTTTACTGATTTTTTACCTCCTAGAACTTCTAATATCTCATTTGATAGATTCCAAGAAATAAATGAAACTGATATCCTAATGTATGTCGAAACGCTCAAGAATGACAAGGCCTCATATGACAATGTGCCTCTATTTTTACTTAAGCAAGCTGTACCACACATAGTTGAGCCACTGACCCACATTGTCAATCTGAGCCTTAATACAGGTGTTGTACCAACCCTTTGTAAAAAAGCTAGAGTAACTCCCATCCATAAGGCAGGAATGAAAGATGATCCTAATAATTACAGGCCAATATCCATCCTTCCACTTGTAGGAAAACTTATAGAATATTTTGTCGGCAAGCAACTCACTGATTACATGGAAGAGAACAAACTTTTCATCCGGCATCAATATGGCTTTCGGAAAAATCACTCCACAACTTATCTGATGTACGATCTGATGGACGAAATATATATGAGTAAATCTAAGTCTTATAAACCAGGAATCATCTTTCTTGATCTTAAGAAGGCCTTTGACACAGTGAATCATGAAATATTGCTTCAAAAATTGGCATATTATGGAATTGGTGGCATTGCTTTAACCTGGTTTAAGAACTTCTTATCTTGTAGATATCAATGCACTAGGATCAATGGCAATCTAAGCTCATTTTTAGAAGTTCTGAGTGGTGTACCACAAGGAAGCATCATTGGGCCTATATTATTTAGTATCTTCATAAATGACATCATTTATGCCTGTAACCTATCTAAGCCCTTTCTATTTGCAGATGATGGTGCACTATTCTTTGATCAAACCTGCAGAAGCACATTTATAAACATGAAAATAGAACTTATGACAATCTTTAAATGGCTCAGTGTTAATAAATTATCACTCAATGAAAAGAAGACTGAATTCCTATTGTTTGATCAGAATATATACTAACTCTAAATAATACGGTAATAAAGCAAGTTAAAGAGACCAAGTTTTTAGGTGTTATTATTGACGAAAACCTAAAATGGGATGTTCAAATAAGAGCCCTCAACTCGAAACTTAGGTGTGAGATCGGAAGACTCAGTAGAATACGACACGTTATCCCGAAAAAACACCATAAAGAATTGTACCACACGTTATTTGAGTCACACCTAAGATTTGGAATATCGGTATGGGGTGGGTCGAGTAATAATATGCTTCAACCTATCTTCATCACTCAGAAAAAATGTATCAGAATACTATTTGGTGACCTTGAAGCATATCTAGATAAATTTAGAACATGTGCCAGAACACGTTGTATAGATGAACAAATCCTAGGAAGAGAATTCTTTGAAAAAGAGCATACAAAGCCGTTGTTTAACAAGAACGGCCTTCTTACCGTCCACAACCTGTACAAATACACATGTCTATTAGAACTGTTCAAAATTGTCAGATTAGAATCTCCAATCTCACTCCTATCTTTACTCCACAGATCACCATCACAAAGACGTTCAGACCAGTTCATCACCCCGAACCCATCCTCCTCTTTCATTTATCAATCAACAAAAATGTGGAACGACTGTCGAAAAATTGACAGTATGATAAGCTTTACTAAGTCAACGAACTTAGTTAAAGTAACACTGAAAAGTGAGCTACTCAAGATACAGTCCAGGTACGAAGATTTAGAATGGACAGAATTAAACTTCGATAAGAATGAGCTTGTATTTTAAAACAGAGTCCTTTGACTTTATTATTTTGAAATTGAAGAATCGTCTGGCCATAACTCATTTCGTTCGCATTACAGATTCACATTCACTTTCATTTTCACTATCACGCACAGTACAGGGTCATACCTCAATACCAAATTATTATAGGGCACAAGAACAAATTTGTTTACAATTATCAAAATTTGTTGAGCCCAGCAGCTTACTTCCTATCCTCTCTTCCCCCGTCGTCTGGAGCGTGTGATTTTTGTTGATATCCGAGCTCTTGTTTTTATCTTTTGGTTAACTTTCTGTGATTGGACTCGGTATTTTCGTCCCCGCCGAGTGGGACGATGCTTGCTCGCCAGTTAAGCTATACTTGTATGTATGTATGTATTTTGACACGGGGCAGCGCTAGACCCCATGTAGTGCCCTCAACCTACTTTTAGATTTGAAGGTCATAAAGGCGACAACAATGCCAAGAGGACAGCGCAAGCCGGTGAGCTGTACACTGGGCACGCGCGCGTAATAATAGAGCTCAAACAGGTAATAGACCCCGCGAGCATATAGAATCAGGATTTTACAGGATGTGGGCAGCCGGCCCTGTGAAGGTGATGGATGCGTGCAAATCTGAGGGCTTGAAGCGAGTGTATTGTGGAGCTAGCGTACTCTGATAAGTGAAGTAGCCCGAACCAGGTAGCTCACCTGCTCCGCATCGCGGGGGGCCGCTCCAGTTTACAGATGTACATGCGGAGATATGTCGACGCTCGTGAGTGAATGGGGAATAGCTGATTTGTGCGAAGGTAATGTGTGGGTTATGATGGTGCTGTTACTTTATAAGTTCTAAGCTTGTAGAATGTGTTGCAAAAACCATCCTAATTGAGGTTTATTGGTTGGCGTATGTAGTGAACTAGTGGGGTTTGACGATGAAAGAGCGCTAAGATAATTTTGGGAATGTAGTATGGGCAGTGACAGATTCAAGGTTGATGGAGATAATTAAAACAACGAATATAACTGCAATTGTAAAAAGTAATAGCAAATATTTGTAAGTGAATCTCGATTGTTTGTGAATCCTCTTTATCGACACTAGGCAGAGTATGATGCTGAGGCGAAGTTCGGGACTGATCTGGTATCATCTTCCTTGAGTTTACTAATCAGATCAACCTGGAGTGATGGAACGTTTCAATTATGTGGATTTGTCGTAATCTCGTGGATTAGTCGTAAGCTCGCGCGCGCGCAGGCTCGCGCGCGCACTAAATTTTCTGTTTAAAAAATGACGACTATTAGGTTGCTACGTCCTTGAGTTGTATGGCGTTCGCGCGTTACGTTTAATGCGGGAAATTTGAAGGACGGATTTAACCGGTTTGAGTAACTGGATTTGATTGAAGTTGTGTTTGGTGGAGCAAGGCGGTAGGTTCGTTTTTTAGGGGTGTTTAGTGGGAGTGTTCTAACCTGGTGGTGGTGGAGGAACTGCTAATACCGGATGAAGGGGTACCCTGGAGGCAGTGATTGGATCTCTACTGGTTTGGAGAGTGGGAGTCCTTTATTTAGGTTGTCTGATGAATATCTGTGTCAAGTCGTCAATCTGGAATAACTCGAGTTTTAGTAATTTATAAAGTGGGCTGTAACATTGCGTTCCAGCCCTGAGAGGGAAAATAAACTAGTAAGAAGATGTAATTATTGGAAAATTGATGCAGATTACATTTATTGACTGATCAGAACAAGGAATAATGTTATGTGGAGTCCAACTTGTAGTTATTCATCTCATGTGATGGTTTAGCGAAGATTTCTGGATCGGAGTAGTATGATGCAGATATCAGATTTCGTAGTGCTGATCCATTGTGTTGATGTACTGCTGCTTAAACTGGTTTCCACGTATGTATGTCACAAGGGTAGCCGGGGTACTCGAATCCTAATTAGATCTCTAGCTTTGTGTTCGCCGTAGAGTGGAGAGTGGATATCCATAGTGCTGTGTACCTGTGTAGGGTTGAAATTCCAAGGTTGCTGAAATGATGATGGTGTTAGAGAAAGACGCAAGGTGTAACATGCGTTACACCGTGGTAAGAAAGGCATTATGGTAGCAGAGAATGCATTATGACAGGAGAATGAGCGAAAGTAATGCAAATGAAAAAAAAGGACCGAATTGACGAGGTGATTGAGTGAGTGAGATGCTGCATTGCTACTGGCTGACTCGCCAGCAACAATGCAAGTCCAAGAAGAAAGAAGGAGAGACACTGTCCGTTATCTGGGTGAGCCACCACCGACAGTGCTCCCACTTATGTGGGGCTGAGGGTGTTGGCTCCAAGAACCAGCCGTGAGCGAACAGCGCCTGTCCCCCTCTATGGTTAACTTGAGAGTAACAGGACTATGCCATTCTCCAGGCCAATCCGTTCAGTAATCAGCTGACCCAGCACCACCTCTGATGGAAGATGTGGTTCGGATTGGACTTCGCTAGGATTTGTCAGTTTTTCTGTAGACACTAATGCTCCCTCGAGGAAAGACATGAGCCCCGGCGAAACTGACCAAAAACGTGGCAGGGATTCTCACCCTACTAAGCTATACTTTAGATGACACTAATTTCTACAAACCACAAAATATTAAATATAAAATGTGTCCAGTATGGCGCAAATGCATCATTTGATAATTTCTCGACGCTGTCGTCGGGGTGAGAGTTATCTGAACCAACTGCATGCCCCTACGATTGCGTCACCACTGGTGAGCAAGCATTTGTTTGTTGTTTAGTTGTGTTGGAAGGGAACATTACTTGATTAATTCATCCATTAGGATTTTAATAACGATGAGCTAAGATATACCGTTCATCTTAGACTATTGGATCAATCTTATTATATGATTAGATTTTATAAACGAACCTGGCATACAAAAGATTGTAATGCGGAGGTTGGCTGGCTCTTCTATAATAAATACGACACTCCAACTTACAGAATGCTTGCTAGAGATAAAACAAAATATTATCAGACTATACATGCAGCATGAGTAACTGGTGGATAAGCCTTCGGTAAAAACGGATCCGGAAAAGTCAATGCGGCACTCGGGTCCTTGGTATTGTCGTCGGTATATTGTCCATTATTTACGTTCTGCTTTCATAGTTCAAACAATAGTGAGCTCTAAATATACAGCTTTAAACCGATTAAGTATGAATGAATGAAATACATGACAATCCGCACTCCTATAATTCAAAAGCATGAGTAACTCGTAGTGATGTACGATTTCTAGAAAGTTTAAATTAAATTTGGCGCTCACAGGTCCTCGTGATCATGTGATCGCCGCATAATGTTCTGTAAATGCGCAGGGCACCTTGAAGCTTAAATTATTCACCATACTGAGGCAGTCAACCAACGCGCGGCTTTATTTTTATGATATGATATGTTTTGATTGTTATTAATAAATACCAAAATTTAAATTTGTTTTACTAAAATTTGTTTTACTTGATTCTGTTGACCAACATGATGAAATAACCATTGATTGTAATGAGGTAACTTTCACAATCAAGGAGTGCAAAGAGACAAAATATCTTGGCCTCATTCTAGATAGTAAATTAAACTTCAAAAGCCATGTAGATTATATTATTAGGAAGGTCATGAAGAGAATTGGAGCCATGTATAGAAGTAAAGCACTGCTACCCATTAAATATAGGAAAATGTTTGCCAATGCACTCATGTTGCCACAATTCGATTATTTAGACACGATCTATTGTAGAGCTGGCAAGACAAAACTTGCTGAACTTGACACTCTGTACAAAAAGGTAGCCAAAATAGCTCTCAACGTTCCAAAAACAGAGAGCAGCCTTAATGTTTATAGAGACATGAAATGGTTACCACTCCATCTTAGACGACAACTCCATCTGTCAAATTATATGTTTAGAATCATCCATGACAATTGTCCTACAAACTTTATGAACAAATTTAGTTACATATCAGGAGGTAGTAGGAGCGGCGAAAGCTGCAACCTTTATGTCAATAGATCAACATCACATAAAAACTTTCAATACTTGGGGGCAAAATGTTGGAATAATGTTCCAACAGATCTACGAAATCTGCCCGATGTTAAAAGCTTTAGTGATTCGTATAAGAAACAGCTACTATCATCTATAACAACAGACCCTAATTATACCGTCGACAATTCATATGAAAAATTTTACACTGCAATCATAGTCGACGATAACTAATTAACTTCTAATTCTTTTAAATCTGAGGCATATATAATTGATGTATCGAAAAGATATTCCCTTTTTTACCACCTTACCATTCTGATTGATTTTGCACATGACTGACATGTTTTAACTGGAGAAGGGGTTCCCACAGTGGTAGTTTTATAAACCACTTTTAATTTATTGACCTATTATACTTAGTGGTAGTTTTATAGACCACATTTAATTTATTAACTTATCATACTTAGTATTTATTTTTGGTGACTGTATCACCCAGTTTTAACATTTGATAATTGTACAGTTTATTGACGACACATTGACTGAATGTTATTTTATATTCTAATTTATATTCTAGATATTTTATTTATTTTACAACAGACGACAACTTCCTGTTTTTTCTTCTATATTAGTTACTCATATCTCTTGTACAGACTTTTTTACAAGGACATTGACAAATGATACTCACATTAGGCATTCATTATTGCATCTAAATTATTTCACTTGCATTAGGCTTAGAATTTATTCTCTGGTCAACAGATTTCAAATGTTTAATTAATTTGTAGTATGACAGTAAGGTATATAAGAAGTTATTTAATTTTGCTTGGGCTATTATATTGACTAGGTATTGAGGTTTAATGATGATATGGAATTTGAATTCTATATAAATTTACACTATGTGGTTGGGGCATTTTGCATAGTAAATATGGTTACTACTCATATATATCATATTATTTGATTGGTATTCGATTTCTGATTATTTCTTAGGAATATGATTATTATATCTCAATTTGGCTTTAGGTAGGGTGCCCCGCTAAAAGAACTGGATTCTTCCAGGAAGCATCCCGTGCACAGACCTTGGTCTACATATATATTAAATTATTAACCATTCATTCTGTATGTGCACGAAAATTTATTTCAATCAAAATAATTCTTTCATGTTAACTCACTCTGAATCCTTTTCTTGTAAATCTTCTTCTATTATCTATCTCCTCACTTGTTCTTGTGGTATTCAATATGTTGGGCTCACAGAACAGCGCCTTAATGAACGCATGAATGGACACCGTGCTTCGGTTAAAGCCGGCAAATCCTCCTTTGTCCATGACCACTTTAATACTCCCGGTCATAATTTTCATGACGCCTCCATTCAAATTATTGATTTTATTGACCCTTCCTCTACTGAAGACCCTCGTCTGGCCTTAGCTGACAGGGAACTTCTTTGGATTAATCTCCTGAGCACTGCTCACCCTCTAGGTCTCAATGACAACATAAAAGGTTCTGGTAATATTTCTAAAAGCAACTTTAACGATATTTATTTTAAAAGTAAAATAAAAAGATATAAAAGAGGACATGGCAGAAAAAAGAAAAACAAAAGCCATGAAGATAGAATATACAAAAGGACTCTCACTTTAAGAGAGATTGACAATAAATATGAAAGTTTAAAAAGAAAAATGTCTGAAAGCAAATACAGCTTTTATAAAGATATAAGTAGCCTTCAAAAAGGCGAGCTCAAGCAACTTAGCTCTCATTCCCTCTGCAAATCTGGAGCCATTTTCCTTGTTATACAATCTTTTGCTGGCCAAGACAGCACTTCTTCTCCTAATATCACCTCTGTTAATAGCGAGTTTATCACTTTTCACTATTGTTCTAAAATATTTGATAAACTCCGAATAGAATCAGTCATTCGTGACTCTAGGATCTTGACTCTTCTCCCTCCAAACCTTACGCCTTTCCTTCCCTTAAAAGTTTACTATAAGTACGATATTCCTGTCGGGCGTAAGCTTTTTAATTATAATAGATTCCTTAAATCACTTGATAATACTACTATTTCCTCCATCCTGGAAGGTGATTGCCCCTGTTCCAGTAACCCTTATTGCTATCAGCCTCGAGGCCACATCATCACCGGTGACCTTGCTTTCATTGAGCACGAGGATTTAAGAGGCATCATGAGTTACGGTACCAAATTTAGGGAACCTGTGTCTGTTCCTCCTGAGCAAATCTTGGAGAGCCTCAACGAGTGTTCAGCCAACTTCGCCACCCGTATGGCTAGGAAACATGGACTTTCATGTTTGGAATTCCAGGATTGGAAAGATGAGGTCTCCCGGATCTTCACCAATCGCCTTAACTTCCTCTCCTCCTCCCCTAATAACTTCACTCCCTACAATTCAATTCTACAAAGGGATGATGTTAAATCTTATCTCGACAGTCTTTCTTCTTCTTTTATTATTTGCTCCGTAGATAAAGCTTCAAATAATTATGTTTTTGTCTGCAAGAAGTTTTATCTTTTAACCCTTCTCAACGAACTTGGCTACGATCTCACTTCTCTAGAGTGTCGTGGCAATTCTACTTATCATCCGGTTAACTCTGTAGAGGATGATATTATTCAGGAACATGTGAACTTCATTAAAGATAACTTTAATATTCGTGTTTCTGAGGACAACCTTTGTCTACCGAGAATCTTTTGGATTCCTAAACTTCACAAGAATCCTTATAAGTCTAGATTTATAGCTGGGGCCAGTAAATGTACCACTAAGCAGATATCAGTTGTAGTCAACAAAGCTTTAAAAGTTTTAAAAGAATACTTTTCCAAATACTGCAACTCTATCTACAACAATACTGGAATTAACTGCGACTGGAGCATTAACAGCTCTAAACAGTTCCTGGAAAGGCTGCCTAGACTAGAGATTTTTAATATGCAGGTATACGACTTTACCACTCTGTATACCAATCTAGACCTTCAGGTTGTACAGTCACTGCTTTTCGAGCTAATAGATCTCCTCTTTAGTAATACGAATAAATTTATTTGTGTTTCTCTGTATAAGAACAACAATTTTTTCTCTAAAAAGGAATATAACGGATACTTATGTTTTTCTGCTGATAAACTCAAAACAGCTATTACATTTATTCTGTTTAACACTTTTGTTTGTTTTGGGGATCAGATTTTAAGACAAACGAAAGGCATTCCCATGGGAGGGAATTCTAGTAGCCAGTTCGCTGATCTTTCGCTAGGGAAGTGTGAATTCAACTACATGACACGCCTAATCAAAGAAAAGAAGTTCGGTCTCGCTAAGCTCCTCTCAAGAAACTGCAGATATGTCGACGACCTCAACACCATGAACTATTTGCATTTCTCTAACCTAATCAGGTCCATTTATCCACCTGACCTGCTTATGGAGAGGAGTGGTGACGACAATAAGTCCGTAAACTATCTCGACATCAACATCTCGATGAATAACTCCGGACACGTCGCCACCAAGCTTTACAACAAACTTGATGACTTCAACTTTCCTGTGGTCATGTACACTTTTCCTAACAGTAATATTTCCTCTTCTGTTGGTTATAATGTTTTTTACGGTCAGGTCCTTCGTTACTCTTCCATTATCTCTGACCTTGATTCTTTTCTGTGTTCTACCAACACCCTTTATAGGACACTTCTTTCAAGATGTTATAATGACAGACTCCTGAAGAGTAAATTCAGAAAGCTTCTGAAAGACCGACCTAGTATTCTGTACAAATACAGTATACTTGATGTCAGCGACATCCTTGACATCACATTTAACGTGAACAGGTGATCACTGACGAGTGATTGCTAGGGGGTCTTGGCACATTAAACCGGTACAGGTATTAAACCCCCGAAACCGGTGTGCCAAGTCATCTGCTGATGATGTTCACATAACTTTATTTCCTCTCTCCTTTATTCCTTCCGTCTTTTCTTAAACTTACAGTTCAGTTACTTTATTTCACCAGGTCTACCTAAGGATCAATTATTCTTTGGTGGGGTTTCACTTCTGGTATTGGCTTCATTCCCGTTCCTTTTCCTTATTCTTTATACTTATTTTTTATATAGTTTAATGAGATATATTTGGTTCCCTATATAATATCATTCTGAAAATTTGTGAAGACCTTCTTAACTACTAAACCTAAATTAGTAGGGAGAGATATGCCTTGATTAAGAGGTCTAAAAATGACAAAATAGGTATAAATTCGTTGATAATTCAAATCCTGACCATCGAAATTGCTCAAACTAATTAAGGTTCAGTAGTTGACAGATGTTACTCGTCTAAATTTCTTCGAAGTAGCGCGCGCCGGGCCAGATCATTAACAATGGTCAAGTTCAGTAGAACATAAGTGTTTACGTAAGCTGACCAAATTTCAAGAAAATTGTTATATGGGAAGTATTATAACTTTTTGATTGTTTCCGAAATAATGTGTTGGCCGAAATACGAGCTAAAAAACCATTCTAAATAACCACATATGGGGCATATTTTGATGTAAGGGTGTTCCATGCCCAGCCCCCTCCAATGCAAGCAAATCGATCCCCGCAATTTACCAGTTTCATGAAAATGAGAAAAAACGGTGTTACAACGCAAGAGTTCTTGAAGTGGAGAAAGGAAGCTTCACACCGTTAGTCAGAGGCGTCTCGTGGGAGCTGGCTGGGAGTTTTATTGGGTGTCCGACCGACTGGGGGGGGGGGGGGGGGAACTGAGTATCGTCACGTTTTAACTCCTGTCTTCTAGATAGTCATATACATCTATTTCGATTGTCAAAAGATTTGATACTTGAACTAATAATATTCTCATTGCTTGTATACCCGATTTTTTTCAACTTGTTCACTTTTCAGCAACTCGATAAGAGTCTAGCAAACAGTTGACTATCTGAAACAAAAAGCGGCTCTTTCTTAGTTTATTTGTTCTTCTCTCCCAGCTAAAACTTGATGGAAAATTTTTGACTGAATAACAAATATGTCTTCATTGAAAGCACTGAGAATTCAAATAATTTTGGTTGCTGTGTTCTACTAATTGCATCACAGGATTTGTTTGATTAATATTTGTATATTAATTGGTCCATCTTGATACTTTTGCCCTGTAGAGCCCTGTAGTGTAGTGTACCCCTTTAGTACATCTACGTTGTAATGTACTGTAACTATACTATATATTTTTACTAATTCTAACATTCGTGACGTTTTAGGTTGATTTTTGATCATGTGACCCATGACTGCAACACAACGGGCCCAAGGCCAAGATTTCAGTTCAGAAAATGTTGATATTGTCTTCGTTATAGAGAATACTGCGGTCCTACATTCTCTCTTCAATGCATTTAAACTCAGTTATCTAGCCAAATTCTTAGAGTAAGTATCAACCCGTTTTTGTGATTGAAAATATACACTGTGTACTATGATATGATGCTTCAAATTTTCCAAATCAATAATCGAAGTCAAAGAAACGTTCCTCATTTAAATGTGTGGTCTAAAATTAATTATACTGTGGGGTGGTTTTTTCCCTAGAACGTATGTTTGTCATGGTTTCACTAAACTTAATCCCTTTTCCCTTCCATCAACGTTAGTTGGGAAAAGATAACTGACATCCTTTAAAGCCATACTGACATACCCATCGTTTCAGGCAGCCCTCCTCCAACTCTATTTCCAGCGGTTTATTTGGCGAGGTAAGTGCTAGTTTTTTTCTAAATGACTAGATGATTGTCTGATGATTAGTAGATATCAAATATGATCACCCAACCAATCAGCTCTATAATATGTCAGAATTGCTAGATCATGCTGCTTTTATTAGAATTAGAATTAAAGTTACACAGCAATACAATAAGAATCAAAATAATTTAAAGAAGCTTCAAACTGCTGTTCAGGACATTCAAGTCAGTCAAAAGCTTTTGTTATTTTACAGAAATTACATCATGATAACTTAAAGGTCTCAAATCATTACCTATTAAATAATGCTGTACCTAATTGTAAATATTTCAGTATCCTGTTCAACAGTATGGTTTGGTTCTATATGGCACTAATGCCCCCGGAACCAGCGAATGCATATGCTGCTTTCCACCAACTCATGATTTGTCAGTTTTCCTCAACCAAATCAAAGAGATAAAGTAAGATGTAGGATTAATTGTGGTTATGCTGTACATAATGTAATAAATCCTAAGTTGCTTACTTACATTCATCTAAAATATTCTTCATCCATCTCCTCTTTCAGATTTGATGGCGGAGGTGCAGAATCTCAGGCGTTTGTTGTCGAAGGAATGGGTGTGGCACTTGAAATCTTTGATGATATGGAGATAACTAGGATCAATAAGAAGTGAGCTTACATGATTTTCATACTTTTACATTACATTACCTGGGTGTGACTTAAACTCATTTTAAATTTGATATTCAAATCATTTTGAATCTGATTAGAGAACACTAACTCATACTATTCCCAAGGCCCAAAGTTAAAAAACTTTGCATTATGGTCGGACAAAGCTCCCCATACCTGAATCCATGTCAGTTTAGTCAGAAATATACTGGTCGCTCGTGTGAAAGGCTTGCAAAGAATATGGCTGAACGAGAAATAAAGCTTTCTGTCCTTGCTCCTAGAAGAAATGACCACCTCAAGAAAATTTTTGAAGCTGTGAGTTTCCTCTCAGATTTTGAATTATATCATGAATGTAACAGAGTAAATGTAAGGAAGGGCAAATTTCATCTCACATCATATAGCCCTAATTTAATATAATTATAAACTATTTCCAGGCATGTCCTGAAGAAAATAGTATAAAAGACTTGGGTGTTGACCCACATCACATGACTCTCATATCGGGATGGAGTTTGCCAGTTTCAGACCAAGCAGATAGTGCAACTAGTGCTGCAAAAGTGACTAGCTCTCCGCCCAAGAGTAAGCACGAAATTAAGAACGAAATTTCTCCTTTGAACATGAATGGATCACTTTGAAGTTCATCTATGCCCCACCGGCACCACAATCATGTATATTACACATTAGAGCAAACTAAAACTTTTAACAAAGTTTACCATGGTTTATTACTATTTGCAGAGGTGAGAAAAGTAAAAGCAGATAGTGGTCCAGCTAACCCAGCTTGGAGCACTGGTTCACCCCACCATATCCAACAACCAGCACATCCGTCAGGCCAACAACCAGGCCCACCTCTCATAGACTTCAACCTTAATACCCCGTCGCCAAGTAACTTAGGTAGCGCTAATTTAACTTAAATTGTGTTTATTTTTATCGAGTAGCACTATAGTTGCTTATTTATCTCTGATTTAATACAATTTAACTGACATTGTTTGTTATTTTCACCTCCTGTATATTTTGATTTCAGCTGCCGGTGTCGCTGCTGACCCAAACCAGCTGCATGTCCCTGACCTCCCAGTCCAATATCCTGATCCTTCCAACCAGATTCACCAGCCCCGTATGCCAGGGCCTCCACACTTGCAGCAGGGTGCTGGGGGGGCGATACAACAGAACCCTCAGATACCAGGTCCTGTAGTCGTCATGCAACCTGGTCAAATGATGCCTGTTGGTCACCCGGGAATGATGCAACGACACATTCAACCTGGCCAAGTACAGGTATGATTAAATTCAAAATTTGGTTAAATGACTAGGTGAGAGAATGATGCAATACAAAGCTCTAGTCAACTTTTAAAAACCATATTATATCAATCATTTTTACAAACTCGTTGGGTGCTGCATTGCGTCTAGACATAAATTACTGATAACATACTCCATCAGCCTGGGATGATGCACCCTCAGCAACAACAGCGGATGATGCAAGTAGGCCAGCCAGGAGGCATACCCATGCAGCCTGGTGCACCAGCAGGTGCTCCTCAGAACATGGCACAAAATGCTTACTACAACAAGATGCTGCAGCAGCACCAACAGCAGCAACAGCAACAACAACAGCAGCAACAACAGCAACAACCTGGTCAGCAGCCGAATCAGCAAAATAAGCGTTCAGTGCTGTGGAATGGACAGCTGGAATGTTGGGATGCAAAACAACGAGCTTCACCCATAATAGTGGAGTGTAATCTTTCAATAGATGCTAGTGTAAATGCGTATCAAGATACTTACAGCAGCATATCAAAGTGGCCTAAAAAGGCAGAATTTTCTTTTATGCCAGGCACTATTCCGGTGAGAGAGAATTTTGTATCACGGTTATTTTTAATAAACTCTACGTATTGTCTTGATCTCAATTTTAACTTATTTCGATGTACCTTAGATACATTATAATATATTGAACATCGAGATTAAAATAGCAAAATATTTTTACTGGTTCTAAAAATGAACTATTTCAGAGTCAACTCTCAAGCACAAAAAGGGCAGCGAAGTTATATTTTACTCTTAATCCAAACAACAATCAAAACCAAGAGAATTCTAAAGGACAGGTAAGGTGGCATTATTGTCATGTCAAAAGTTATGTCTTTTCACTTATAAGGAATTATAACATGACGTCATGATAATAGCAATACATGTTATGTAAGTAACCATACCCAGTCTGCCCAGTCAAGTTTTAATATTATATATTTTTATTAGCCTGTTATAATTTAATTGAGTTAGTTATTTTATTTCAGATTGAAATAGGATTGACATCGACCGGGGATTGTGGTTTGCTAACAGTAAATAGTGTAGGAGGTGGAAAAGAACAAGTACTCATGTTCTTCAGCACTAAAATGAAAACCTTCATGGGTTTATATCCTTTCAACCAGGTAAAATGTCCATTATTGTGCTTAAATTGTGTACGATGTTCTGTAAGGTTATAATCCATTTATGATAATATCACGTATTGGTGCTATTAGGAATTTGAAGAAAATACCAGCTCCACAAAATATCAGCTCAGTTTCCTCATCTCCTCTATTAGGCCCAGTTTCAAGAGGAGCTAGCCGGAAAGTTGCAAGAAGCAGAATACTCAGCTGCTGTCAACACCTTGCCTAATCCACGCCAAGCTGTTCAGCAGCAACAGCAACAGCAACAAACTCCACAACAACAAAATCAACAACAAGTTCAGCAACAACAGCAACAACAACAACAAGTCCAACAGCAACAACAGCAACAGGTTCAACAGCAGCAACAGCAACAGGTTCAACAACAGCAAGCTCAACAGCAACAAGCCCAACAAAAGCAGCAGCAAGCTAAGCAAATGCAACAAGCCAACATGGTCCAGGGTAATATACCACCTGGTAATGCTAACAACAGCATTGCTTTCCAGCAGGCCATGATGGCTCAGCAACAAATGCAGGCTCAGGTTTTCTATATTACAATTCTGCTATAATTCTGCCATATAATTAACATAAACTTATCAATTATGACTTATCCCCTTCTTAGAACTTAAAAGCTAAATATTTTGATTGTACGTTTCGAACAAAGCATTCCGAGAAGGATCAAATAGTTTTCAACATCAAATCACAACAATAAATATTCGGTTCAGCAGAATCAGCAGAGGATGATAAGAGCCCAGGGAAACCCTCAAATGATGGGACCTCAAGCTGGCCAGATGAACCCTAGGATGCAAATGCAGAACCAGATCAACATGCAGCAGCAAATGCAACAATTCCACCAGATGAGTGCGTTTTTAGCAACTAATTACTATAGGGGGGCGTGGGGGGGGGGGGGGGGGGGGGCTATGTTAGTAATGCTCGTTTAAAATTCATGAATTTAACAAAATTCATTTAACATCTAGTCAGCAAGTAACAATCCTCCAATTATATAATATACAGCATTCACCAAGCTGATTAGAAAAAGATATAACTCCTCAATAAAACAGGAAACGTGCAAGGAATCCCTGCACAAATGCAGCAGATGCCCAATGCTCCGGTCATGGGTCAGATGACACAGAACCAGATCATGGCCCAGCAGCAGGGGCAGATGATGCAGCAAGGCCAGATACCCCAACAAGGTCACATTCCACAGAGCCAGATGTTACAGCAAGGTGGGCAACCAATGCAGATGAGGATGGCCCCTGGGATGCAGATGTCGAGTGAGTCAAAACATGATCATGGGGTTAAATATACCTATCTGGTTTAGTTATAGGTAACGGGTTTATAATAACTTCCATTAGGAATATGATACCAAACTGGTCCCATATGTATCTATATTCTATAATTATATCATGCGAAGTTATTAAAAGTCCTCGGCTTTTGTTTCCAATGCTCCGCCATTTTTTGAACTAGAGCTCCAAAATTTGCTATGGTGATCAAGGCCAGGGTCGACCGGGGTCGGATTTCTGGCCGGGACCGGGAACCGGAAATTTTGACATCAAAAATGGCCGGACTGGGAATTTTGCCGGGAAAATAGTAGTTGCACTTATCTACTCACTGCTAAGTAGTCACTTAGTAACTGATAAGTAACTTCTTTTTAAAACGATCTGAGACATTTTATATTAATTTGTTTGTTTTGTATTTGGGGTATTTATTTCTTTTATAAGATTTCTTGGGTTAAAAAAAGCTAAATAGATCTGAGCTTAGTATGATAGTGTATACGTGACTTAAGGACAAACTTCTTATTGGAATAAGGCGTAATTTTGATGCCGAGAACAGCCGAGAATAATACGGTGACTCAAATTGATTTTAACTATATTAAATCAGGAGCTTTTCTTGTTTGTTTGTAGATATTATGAGCATTCCCAATTTGGGCTGTTTCTGGCCTTCGATGCATTTATAAGCATAATTTAATAAGTTTACTTAATACGTTTTTCATGGTTATGAAACAATTTAAACTTAATTTTATTTGTAATGGCTTCACGACTGATGCATGTAATACCACAAATGTTTGGTTGAGTTTGTCATTGAATTTTGGTAAATTTTGTTTTTAGCGGGACAATGAGACGAATTCTGGGATAAAGGTGGAGTTTTATTTAGTTTTTACAGATTTTGAACTGAATAATTGTAGTTCTTAAATTAATTCCGGCCATAATTCCCGGCAAATTTTGGAAATCCCGGTCGGCTCTTCGTTTTGGTTATGTTGTTGAGCTAGAACAAAACTAAGCTTAAATACCTGATATCATTTTATGGGTTAAACTTGTAAACTCATGTACACGTAGACAGGTAAACATTCGTATTTAATTTATACACATAATTGAAAAGTAAGGACTAGTACTGACGTACGCGTACTTCTCAGCAAAAATTTGACTAGATTATTTTGATTAAATACTAATGTAGCTATATCTGATGGTACAAACTGACTCTAAGTTTAAATTTTCATTGTATAAACATGTACAACATTGAAACTCAATTATCTAGACGTTAAGAATAGTAAGTAACTAAATGAATATTAAAAGAATAATAAATTACTCAATGAATATTGAATGGGCATAAAACTGAAAGTCAAGAGAAAATATCAAACCCAATTTTGATTTGAACACAAATAGATTAACTTTTGGGATCTATCCGATTTAGTTCGAAGCCTCGTACTTCAGATACTAGTGATCCCAAAAGTTTTGTTCGTTCGTATCGATGAGGATAGTAATGTGCAAGACACCGTTTTTGCTATTACTGTCATATTATCATTGTTCCAATGTTCGAGTCGTACCTCGCTTCTGGCCGGTTGTAACTTGCACTTGCAAATTTAACCATTTCACGTGTGCAAAAAACTCATTCCTCGGCCTTGGCTTTGGCCGAACAACTATTCTTCGAATCGCCTTGGCTTAACTTAATACGGTCCCCCTCGGCCATGAAACCTGCCCTCGGTCGATTACCGATCAAGGAAAGTTATCCATAATATTAAGGTGGAATTATAAGTTGAAGTTTTCAAACAGCTGCCACCAATTCAGCAATGTCCGCCTTGTCCAACCAGTTCAGGATAAGTTATTTCTCCTGCATCATTGATCTGAACAGTCTCTGGGTGGTTATTTTCAAATATATACTGTACATTCCAGGCGTTCCACAAGAGAAACTTATACCTTGAAATACCTCTCCTTCGTTTCTCCAAATACCCTTCACCCGGATCATGTCTATCTTTTGGTCTATCGTGTTCTAATCTTACATCTTTACAGTATACTAGCTTCATTCCTGCAGCTTTAAGTCTGATGAATAAGTCCTTGTGTTCGATTATGGCAAGGTCAGGGTCCCAGCCCCCAATGTCTATAATATGTTGGGTCCGTGCCAAAAATACATTAGAAGAAGTATCACATCTTACACAGCTAGGAAAGTTTGGAATTGTTTGATTAACCTTCGAACATACTCCAGTGAACATTCCAATCTCGGGATTGTTATTGATATTATGAAAGTACCCGGACTCCAAAAAAGCTGCAAATTCGACCTTTCCGTCGTATCTTCCAGAAGCAATTGTTGCATCAGTTGTGTCTAATATCTCAACCAATTTAGCTATATTGGTTTCCTCTGTGAAGTTAACATCGTCATCCAAAAGGAAGAAATATTCAGTCTTGATTTCTAGAAGAGCTAAATCTCGCCCCCTTGCAATGCCAAGATCCTCATCATTACTAACAATATATCTCATTAAAGGATACTCTGCAATTTGGCGCCTTGTCTGTGCTGAATAGTCATCTGGTCCGTCATCGTACACAACTGTTGGTAAATCAAAGCCAAGCTTCTCCCTCACACTCTTCGCTTGTAACAAAACCAGCTGAGGACGCCGAGCTGTCTTCACCACCAAAGTCACACATTCCCACAATTTAGTGCATCTTTTGATTTGCGGGAGGAGATTGACGGGTTCTCGTCTGTTAAACCCACAAGCTGCAAAGTTGCAGGAGATTCCAGGGGGCATGACTGCTTGTTTCAGCAGTTTTCTGTCCTCTAGGAAGAGTTCCTCTTCCATGAGTACTAGACGAGATGCAACTTTATCACAAGGTGTTAGTCTGATAGGATCGTTAAGACAGGGACTGTATGTAACGTCTTTCTCTTTGAGAAGAGAGACAGGGCTGGGGCAAAGTTCCTTATCATCCACTATCCGCGTCAAGAACACACCTTCGTTATATGCAATAATGAATGCACCAGTAACTATCGAGCATTCCACTAAATGAAGTGAAAACTCCTCTGTCCCATGATTTGTACCGATTTCAACACATTTCCCTAGTCTTTCGTACACTAATTGATTGTCTTTTGTCAGACTGAATGCCTGCTGCATGTTCGGATCACAGAATTGTACGACTAGATCTCCTTCATTTGTTGCATCAATACACCTTCCTTCATACCACAATCTGAGCCTGTGCTTGTAGAATGAGCCAACTTTGGTCTCCATCGAATACAATTTTGTTCGAAGTGTTGAGTCATTTAAGCGAACATTCATGATCGCTGATTTCCTCATTCCGTTATTGATTATTAACAGAGATATCACTAATATAGCAAGAAGGAGCACTCTGCGATTACCATTGAGACACTTCCGTCTTATTGCAAACATGTTCGCACTCCTGGAAAAATTGACCAATTATATGTTTCATATCTTGGGCTATCACTATCAAGATATTAAATATAAACTACAGAATCAGAGAGTAAATTATAAACAACTTGTATTGCACTACTACAAATAGAAAAAGCTAGATTCGTCGGCCACGTCATACAATATTTGAAACGCGAGAGTACAGAGTAACGACAGAGGTTAGGTCAAATTAAGTATTAATCATCCTGAAAGGACATAACAGGACATTAGTATAAATAGAATCCTACAACAATATTGTTAATGCTTTAATGACTAGTTGTTGCTTAATTTAAATAAAAAAGGTAGCTGACTGATTATTCACGTACGAAAAAGTAAATTAAACAGTCAATAACAAGATTAATTTATTAAATTATTAAATTAATCGCCGAAAGCTTTACACGTAGATTGGTATGTGATGAAAGCAAGATCGGTAAAAGTTGGTAAAGTGAACAGAGCTAAAACTTGAGGCAACATAGCATCATAGAACGATGTGCTACAGTTATAAACAATACAAAAGAAAACAACAAGACCTCTGCTAGGGTAATAACTAATAAGGTGTGAGAACACTACAGAAATGTATTCTAATCGTGTATTGAATGTAAGATGCAATACACGATATATCTTTAGTATTATACACTGTCGCGTAAGTGTTATCAATATCTCAAATTTCCACTTAAACTTTAATAATCTGACCTTAATTCAACCTGGTAGAATGTTACCAAAATTATGCACTTTCATATCAGTTCAGACATTATGGACAAATATTAGAAATATTATCAAAAGCTAGTATAGGTGGAAATAAAACGTCTTTAGGGCATTTTTAAAACATTCGGGACATTCTACAGATGATAATGATCTCACTGAGTAGGGTAGTTCATTCCAAATTTTTGGTCCACAAAACATAAATCAGCATCCGTTCGTTTGATATGAGGAGCAGGAGGAACTTTCAACAAATAAAAGTCATCATTTAGTCTGGAACTTCGTCTTCGTACTTCACTCAAATTATTTATATTATACATAAATACAACACAATTAATTTATAATGTAATGCTAGCATAAAGAAAATGATTCCCGAAATTAGCACAATGAAGAGAACAAGATGCTGTGTGAATATGGGGAATTCATGCTCCACCGGTAGTCCCTACAGTAACGCCTCGATATTCCTCTCCCCTGGTTTAAAATCGTGCCTGGAAATTAAAATCGTTGAAACTATGTAGTTGTAGACTGTAGAGGGCCTCGACGAATTCTTAACGGCCACCCAAAATTCGACCTGCTTGAACTTAAACAATCTGACCCAAATATTAAGAGCCCAAACTAATTATGTTGGCCGTCTACAATCCGACCATGCCTATTGCCAAATGTAAAACATTTACAATTTTAAAAAGTTGATTTTGTTGACTTGTAATGCAATAATCATTATTCTCATCAATTGGATGCAATAACATAGGAAAATGAATCGTCAAATAACTAGTTGCAAGCGAAATAGTTTATTTTAACTAATATGTTAGTTCAATCTATTCAATGTTTACAGGAAACGATGAAATGATGATGCAGCAGCAACAACAAATGCAGGTACGTAAGTTTGTTATGTTTAAGAATATTCTAGGTACATACAACTATTTTTTAGGTTTTATTTGTTTACCGTGGTTACCAAAGTACAGTTCTTATTATTAGAGTCATTGAGTATGATCATGAGGTACTTACAAATTATTTAATAGACCAGACACTAACTGAAATAACACATTTTTATGGTGAACCTAATTACTTAAATGGTTAAGGTACTAAAATATTTGATATTATTACATTCGATCATTACTATTAATAAAGGGGTGCATTAATTATTGTAAATTGGTCAGTCCCGTTCTACATTATATTTGTTCCAGATGATGATGCAACAAAGAGGGCCAGGTGGTCTAACTATGCAGCAGCAACAACAACTGCAACAGAACATGCAAGCGCAGAACATGCAGAACAACCAGGTTTTTAGTTTGGATTCAGTACAAATACAAATTACCTAGCTAAATTTTATCCTCCATTTCATTTGTTCCTTCGCTGTATGATGGTTTGGTGGCCGACCTGTATCCGACCCCGCCCCCTGGGAATCAAACCCCGGTCGTCTGTATGGGAACAGTACATCATTAGAGCTTCCATTATGACATGAGTGCATACGGATTCGGGGTTGCCCCCCCCCCCTATACTGCAGTGAAAGCTGTACCGAAAGGACCGTGGCCGAAATGCAATTAGACAGGGAAATCGGCACCCCGACTGCGGTCGAACAAATTATTGATTATTATTTTTATTATATTACCTCCTATACATCATATCCTCATGTGATGCAGCCAATCTAATGAATTACGATGATGATATCTTTCTCAGATGATTCGACAGCAGCAGCCTTGGACTGGACGACAATAGGAAAAATTTATAAATTCAAATATTTTGAATTAAAATACATTAATATTTTTAATTTTACGAAGTGGTAAATACTTTAAGTTGCTGGCAGCGAATTGAAATATAAGATCGAATCTAAGATGTATTGAATTGTACTTACATGTCTTTTGTGAATTGTGTCTATTTCACGTTGTATAGGAGCCTCTCCAACGTTATTTATTTATGTCACGTCAAAGGGTAAAGAAGCTAGATATTCAGCTTGGGTAAAGTCCAAATGTGTTCCAATATTTATTATTTTATGACGATCTTATTTTAATTTAATGACTTTGTAAAGTTATTGTTTTAATAAAGCTGTTCCCCAAATTGTATATCAATAGACAATAATTATACCTAGTCAATACGTGGCAGTGCTCAGTGCCTATGCAGCGTGAACACCCTTTACATTGCGATATGATAGATGTTACAAATTGTTGTTTTCTGAATTTTACTATTCAAGAATGTACTGATTATATCAATTGATGACCTTACAATAATTTTATAGCTTCTCCAATAAATCTGATGAATCGTGGTGTTGTAGCGCTGGTAACGGGTGGAGCCTCCGGTCTGGGCCTAGCTACAGTCAGACATGTCATCAAGACAGGTGGTAAAGCGCTCATAGCTGATCTACCTGGATCCAAAGGGTCTACTATTGCACAGGAAATGTCAGACAATTGCAGGTATTGTATAATGTATATGTGGATTCAGGTGGGGAGTTGAACAAGGGTCGACCGAGTCCTCGGCCTCGGTTTTACCGAGGAATAGCGATTTTTCCTCGGCCTCGGCCAACAAAATGAAACCTCGGTTGTCCTCGGCCTCGGTTTTTTTTCCTCGGCCTGGAGGACAATTCCTCGGTTTGCCTCGGCCTCGGTTAAAAATTAAGTTGCTATTCCTCGGCCTCGGCGAAATTGTCCCAGTTGCAACTTGCAAGGGTCGACCGAGTCCTCGGCCTCGGTTTTACCGAGGAATAGCGATTTTTCCTCGGCCTCGGCCAACAAAATGAAACCTCGGTTGTCCTCGGCCTCGGTTTTATCAAAGCAAAATTTCCTTGGCCTCGGTCGCAAATCCTGCCCTCGGTCGACCCTTGGAGGTGAAACATGGTTTTTTGGGGTTTTTGACACTTGACATTAATCAACCAATCAGCTTCGACTATTAAAACCAACCACTGTCACGTGTCTGAAAAGTCCTCACCCCCAGTCCCCACATAGACCACCATGTGACACGTGTTTGATGTTGTATAAAAGTTAATACTCGTCCTATGTGATCGATTGTTAATAGTGCCAATTTAAGCCAACTTTACTGCTTAGCTTAACACAGAGGTTGCTATTTCGAATAGTATTGTCCTGGTACCGCTTATACTTTTGACTTATTAACCCAATGTCCCAGGTTCTCCCCCGTTGATGTGACGGACGAGGCGAGTGTAAGATCTGCCCTGGAGATGGCAGCTAGCGAACTTGGTCCTATCACTGCTGCTGTCAGCTGTGCTGGTATCGCCACTGCTGGCCTCACCTTCTCCAAAAGAGGTAGGGTAAAATTATTGTTAAAACCATTTTCATCTGAATTTGAGAAAATATAGCATTGTCAACTAATTCTATAATTCGCGTAGAAACCCAAGTTTGCTTACGAGGAAAGCAACAAATAACCATTACAGGGCCAGGGTCGCTAGATGACTTTCAGAGAACAATTAATGTGAACCTGGTGGGTACCTACAACGTGTGTAGACTCGCTGCTGAAGCAATGTCAGCTCAGGAACCTTATAATGAGAGTGGAGAAAGAGGTACTTATTAAGTGTAGATTTGTTACAATATTGAGTTTCTGGTGTAAGACTCACCTTATCGGCCCTCCTGTGGCCCCTGTACTTAAATTAGGGTCGGACAATTTAGGGCCGAAAAGTGAATCGACTCTCAATTGAGAATGTACATCTCAATCGAGACTCTAAAGTGTATCTAACCACGGCCAGAATCGTAAAATAGGCAGTATTATCAGTGTAATACGTCTTAACAACAAATGCAAGCTTTTACATGGTTTGGTATAGCCATACACTATCAATATCTGCTGGTTTAGACTTTACCCAGAACACACAATGTATCTTAAATATTTCCAGGAGTTTTAATCAACACAGCCAGCGTAGCCGCCTTTGAAGGGCAGCGAGGACAAGCGGCGTATGCTGCCAGTAAAGGCGGTGTTCGTGCACTGACAATAGTCTTGGCAAGAGATCTCGCTGCGTTTGGTATCAGAGCTTGCACCATCGCACCAGGTAGTACCATAATTGAATTCAATTTTATTGTGTAAAAAGATTTTCAGTGATTAATGCACCTCTATTTTGCTGAACTGACCACTAACTGAAGACAACTTGTCAGGTATTATCCTGACACCCATGATGGCAGGAATGAGGGATGATATTAAAGAATCCCTTGCTGCTGGGGTGCCTTTTCCTAAACGCCTCGGGCATCCTGGTAAGAATTTGGAGATACTTTTAGTTATATCAGTTCATTTTATAATAATTTTCTGGTCACAAGAAAATGAACTATATTGTGACAATGAAAATGCTAGTTCTTAAAGCTTTAGGTTGTGTCCCAGAATCCGAGAATACTTCTATTTTGTTTTGAAGAGGGATAAGATAGTAAATCAAAAGTAGAGCCTAGTAGGTGACAATTTTTGTTAAATTTTCTAAATTTCAGAGGAATATGGCGCCCTTGCTCATCATATCATGACTAATGGATACCTCAATGGAGAAACTATTCGCATGGATGGAGCTCTCAGAATGACTTAATTAAGCTGAAGAATTACTTGAAGTTGCGTGACCCAGTAGTATGATGGACTGTTTAGGATTCAGCACTTTTAGGATAGTTTACAATGATTTATAGATATTTTATATTGTATTATATAATAAGGCTTCGTGATTTCTTAGGGTTTAAAGACGTTAATTTTGCGTTACTTTAATTTCGTTCTCAGAAGCTTTTATGCGCTTTTATGTAATCAAGTTTATAAATTTGTTCTAATCGTTTTTGTTTGTATTCTAACTTATTAAATTCATTCCAAAAACGTGTGTTTTCATCGCATGTTCTAATTAATTTAAACAGTCATTAAAAAACAAAAGAAGTTGATGTCATCTTTTGGTGTTCTAGTAGAGTTAAAACTTAAAATATCTCGGCTTTTGAGTCAAAGTTTTTTTAGTCATCAGTCTATACATTTTTTATTGTAAGATGACTCACTGACACATCTAGTTTCCAGGTGATGAAGCAGTCTACACTTCAGTTTGTCCCATTCAAATCTGATTCGATGGATCCTGAAGAAGCATCCAGAAGAGCAAGAGCCATCATCGCTGGTGTGATAGACGAAGAACTGGTTCAGAAAGAAGCTCACGAAATGTTAGCGAAGATATCCTTCAAAAATTCAAAGAGGAAAAGAACTCTACCGTCAGTTTCTACCAGTCAAGACACAGATAACCCTGAAAATATGGTTACTTGTTTGAAGAGTATTCTCAAGAATTCTTATCAAGATAAGAAATCCCCGGGACTGGGGCAAAAAGCGTTGGAATGTCCGACACAGTTTGCTTTTATCTTAGATTCTTGTGATGTCAATTTGTTTGACATACACGAATTTTTCTCTTTTATAAAATACAAACCTCTAACCGACATCATAATGAAAAATATTTGCATCTTACTGAAACAAAAATGGATCGTCTTAAAAGACATTGCTGAAGAACTCGACGAAGAAAACTTTAACAAGGTGTGCTTTCATTTGGTTTGCGACGACAGTTACTCATCTCAAGTTATTGAATTTTTAGCAAGTAGATCAAGATACCGATCAACGGTGACTCAAATTTGTGTGTCTTCAGTATTGGAGCCGCCCGGTATAAGTCTAAGCTTATTACATTTATCACTGGTAACCATGAATGATCTTCTTTCTTCTCTTCTGAGACGTAAAGACACTTTGACCCTGGAAGAAACATATTCCAAAGTTGTTGACATTTTTAAAGAGGAACTTCTCCAGCAGCAAGCTTGTAAGATGCAGGAGTTTATCCCGGATTTATCTCTAGCTAAAACGTTCACAGTTCTGACCACAACATGTCACGTTTGTGATGTTAGTCCAAGGTTTTTGATCGTCATTTGGATTATAATCATCAAAATGGAGTCAGACGATTCGGTCAACAAATTCGATTTTTTGTCTGATTTTCTCAAAGATGCAATAACCAAGAGAAACCACCACAACTTCGCCCTGGCTATAATCATTATGCGTCTCCTGGATCTGGTAGGAAATCGAACATACTCCGAGAGCTACCAGCTGTTGTTTGGGAACACTTCTACAATTATAACTTCATCAAAATCAGTAGAATTCATAATGGACGAGTTTACAACCTTAGTTCCGTATGAAGTGGGTATGTTTTTAAAGCAACACATTCAACTGCCTCTAAGAGGGGGAGCTAAGTTTAAAGACAAACTTGATCAGTTCCTCATTCTTGCAAAGACTCGTATGAAGGATTTTAGTCTGGTAGAAATTGACAAAAACGTTGTTCATGATGTCGAAAAAGCCATCGTTACTTTCAAGAAGAAAAGGTCAGTTCCGTCATCCATTATAGAAGCTAGTATCTTCAAGAAACAGTACTACATCAATCATTTTTTACCCTGCTTGATGAAGAAAAACTGCGTTGACGACGAAGAAGGACGGCATGAACTGGTTAACGCTTTGAAATCAGCAAACAAAATCCCCAAATCAGTTCTCAACAAGCCAGAGCCGGAAGTAGTGGAGATAACTCTTGCTGAGAATCTAGAAGACTTGATATCCAGCTTACCTACCCGAGGTTATGAGATCAAGGACGCAATCTACAGCTTGTGCTGTTCTGGCTGTGATAGAGACACTATGACATTGTTAATCCAGACCGTGTGCTCTCACTGCAGCAATATTGAGCCGGTTGTGTTTCTAAAAGACTTTGCTGTGACCCACCACCTTAGTGAGATGTTTAAGGATTGTGTGTTGCAGCTGTGTCACAGAGGTACTGCATGTAGCTCTGTTTTTGGTTTGTTGGAACTATTTGACTCTTCGACTTGCAGTGGTATTTTAAAATCTGTTCTTGTACTTAACAGACTTCTTTACAAGCTGATCCCCGTGTCCCTAGAGATGGAATATCTTCATATCATAGTGCTAGGAAAGCTTGACGATAACATTGAGGCTCCAATTCCAGATGCAGTTTGGAAGCAACTCTCAATAGAAAGACTTTGTGAGACTATCACGTGGTGGTCACATGATCCACAAAAACTTGCCCACTTTCAAGCCTTGGTTTCCACAATCTTCGACAACATTATATCCAACCAAGCTTGTAACGATGTATGCATCAGCTTGTTCAAATCCTCTCTCTCCCTAAACATTTTACCTCTTATTTCATCCACTTTCATTACCCTACTTCCTCTCACCTCCTTCTCCAAGCTGTGGGTATACGAAGCTTTAGCTCAAGTTCTCCTCCCCCTCTACCAGACTTCTTCTGAGAAACCTGTCTCGAAGATTAAAGAGATTTTCAGGAACTTTTTCAACGTTATAAACGTAGTGAAACCCTCGCTGTTGTACAGATGTGGAGGGGTTAAAAGTGTTGATAACTTGCTGAGTGTACTGGATAGTTATAAGATTTACATTACCACGGAGAAGTTCATTTTATCTTATCCAGTTACTCTCACTATTATCAGGTAAGATGGGGGATAGACATAATTTTTCTGCTGTTAAGTTGACGTTTTGTTATGGATTTATTTATAAAATATATAGCTTTAAGTACTAAGGATCGAACTTGTACTCTAACAATCCTCAGCAATGTATTAATTTTCACGAGGTTTCACTTAGGTCCGTTCAAGATGAGGTATCACTTAACGTTCTTCTAGAAAAGTCGCCCACTTTCCTTATATCATGTGTCTGCTACACTGACGAACTGACGAAAATAAGAGGGGCTGAGTACCTAAAAAATAATGACCATGTCAACGCTATCATATCCTTTTTAAAGGTAACTATGCTACAAATCTTTTGTGCTCAACTAAATAATCTGTATAGTAATAGTATTCAAAATCCATCATCAAAATCCATCTTCAACAAAATAGGAATTGTGGCTCTTCCTAATCTCATTGCTAAAAGCTGTCTAACTTTGATGCACAAGGTTTATATGGGAGTAGCACCATCGAGTATCTGTAGTATATTTGAAAAATCACCGCTTAGACAAACGGAAAGGAGAAATCCAAAGTATTTTGAAATTAAGTTCAACAGATTACGCAGAAACAGCTTCTTTTATAGAACAATGCTTCTGTGGAATGCACTGCCAGCCTATGTTAGACAGACTGAGAAAATTTCTATTTTCAAAACAAAGCTAACTGAATTTCTCTGGTCTTCTGACGTATGCTGGCCTGATTAGACGGCCCATCATGGAATATTATTATATATATATTTTACTTTATGAATGTCATACTCTCTATAATTTGCCCCTCGCACCTGCAGTAGAACGCGCCGTTTTTTCTTTTATGAAACAACCCGAAACAAGCGCGTCACGCAGTACGTGAGTGGCTAGGCTAGATTATAGATTGTTTTATTAAAATATTATTTAATTATGTTATTTTGTTGTTATGTCGTGTAAGTTTGTGGAGTAGTAGCAAGAAGGTATCGTATACATTTAAATTTGTTCTCTTGATTATTTATTAATGATTTTATGTAGGGTCGGCACCAATGTAATTATGGTCTTACCACCGTGTTTTGGTTCAGCCGAAATAAATTTTACCTTGATGTTTTTACATATTGTTTCTCACTCCAGCTGAGTCTGGTAGTGTTGAGTATCATGAATATTTTTCTAGCTCTCTTTTTCCATGTTTTTGCTTCACAGGAGATATTGTGGTCTTTTTATTGAATATAACTGTAATACATTGATGTAAAGTTTATTTGAATTTTGAAATAAAAATCACCGATTATAGCATCTCTAACGTAGGACCACGATTATATAACAACACGATAAACGAAATAAATAAAATCCTTCCCTTCAACGTACCTAAGTTACAAGATAAATTTATTAATTCATACAAGGACAACATTGTACGTTACTTACTGGACAAACAAAAACTTGACATAAAAAACCTTTCGTGGACGGACAAGAACTTTGTCCTTTACAACTTTTAAACAAAATATTAGCAAAATAATATAACAGCTGTAAGAATCCTAAACGTTAGTGCAGTCAAATAAATGAACTGCGATAATGCATTTGACAGTCAGTCACTGCAATTTATTCTGCAACTTATTTTTCAACTTTCACTGCCACACTTAGGCTTATCTTGGCTACACATTTAAAAAAAACGAAATTCCTTGCGCACCGCATACTAAAATTACTTGGATTTCTACCGCTATTGATAAAATGACTACATGAAGATGGGGAGTTAATATTGTTGACTTATATAATATAGATTATTTATTCTTTAGTGTAGATTAACTTTATTTTTATATATTTTACTAAGTGTGAAGGATCAACCATACGTTATTGATATTGTTGAAATATTTAATGATAAATTGATATAATAATAAATTATTGTAATATTTTTATTGAGGCACATGCCACCCCATCGCGGGTTTACTACTACTACAATTTTTCTTAAAGAATTTTCTTTTTGAAAATATGATATTTGAATTTGTTGAGTTCAATAATATCACCCGGTTTTACCTCGTCAGAAGCTAGAGAAAGAAGGAGTTAGCTCTAACGATTACCCGAATGAGAGATATCGTCCTCATATCGGGGTCTGTTGGTTCCTTCTCTACGCTGACAAACATCTCTCTGACTTCAGTGTTAGTCATTTTACTTTGTTCTTGTAGTTGTGTACTTTTGATGAGCGACTTGGTAGGTTTTTATACTAGTTAATGGTTATTGGTTATAATAAGAAATTTCTAAGTTGCAACATAATGCTGTTGTAATTTGTGCACTAAATACTATACAACAACTCTTATCATAATATGTAGCAATATATTATTATTATAGTTGTTGCATATATTTACATATAATAGTATACTCTGTATTTCAGGCAGTATCATTTCAAAACACTATTATGGAGGGATATGTCACTGCAATCTTCTACTCCTACTCTAATCTCTGGTTATCTGGTAAGTTCCTCAGTTCCTGGCAAATTTGTAGCTTTGACTTGGTGATACTTGTAAGTGCAACCTTAACAGTAGCACATACATAATATATATAATATAATATATAATTTATTATGTAATATATTATATGATGTAATAATATCCTGTCCAAACCCAGGATACATAACATGAAGACTTTGTTGTAACTTTGTATGAAAAGCATTAATAATACACAATATTCCGAATATTCTGTAATATATTATATTCTGTAATATATTATATTCTGTAATATATTATATTCTGTAATATATTATATTCTGTAATATATTATATTATGTAATAGTCATTCAGTACCACATTATACTAGTCCCTATAAGTATATTATATTTAATAATGACAATAAAAGCATAACATTATTAATACCCCCCTCGCTCCCAGGTACTCTGACCCCCAGACACGTGACTAACCTAGGAGAACTAACAGTGAAGTGCTGTCAGTACCATGATACTTACACAGCACCGCTACTGGAGAGAGGTGGTCCAGGCAATGGTGTTCTCGATCTGCATTTTAATGGTACGTGTGCAGATTGATAGTAATGTTATGATGCACTGTAGTTGGTCGATTCGTTTGTTTTTTGCCCGTCCGTCAAGCAGAACTCACACATCTGCTTGAACTTAAAGTTACCAATTTTAGATCATAGTGCGGTACTACCATATTTGATATTATTACAGACTTGCGATACTACAATGAATTATCGTGGCACAGTATCAGTTTTTAAATTAATTTACGACTTAGTTCAATAATATAAGGTCTATGTACAGAACACTTATAATTTACTTCCAGTAATTATTACCATTACTCAAGTTAAACATAAACAATTTAAATCATTAAATTGTCTCCTTGACGATCCATAATGGGTTGCTTCTCAAAACTCCAGCTTACCTTTTACATCAGTTTAATGTAACATTAACGTTTCGGTCACGCACGGCTCATATTATTTAAGTATCAACATTTTTACTGTTAACGTTTTCCGTTAGAGGTTGTGATAGTAAACATTTTACAAATTTATCTTGCGGCTTCTATAATATCAGTCGCTGTGGTTACTCGAGCTACTCATACTTTAGTATTAATATACTTTAGTATATTACATAAAAATATAATAATAATACTTTAATATTGCGCAATCGAATATATAAAGTTCTGCTCCTACAACTCTAACGTCCAAACGATTACGCAATATTGCTGTTGTAAAATATTACTATTTAGAACTTAGACGTTATTATTTTATATACTTAAAAACGTCATCCAAATTCCAATTAAGTTCGCATAATTTACTTAATAATAATAACATATTCTTAGTACCTTATAACCTGAGAAACCATTTCCAAAGTAAAACCGTTCTTCAGCCAATTTGATCTTTGAGTACCCACTATCCTGTTACATTATAAAGTCTCTGCATTGTTTCGATAATGTTGGTTATAAATCACAATCGTCTGCCGTCTTTCTACTATATTAGTTATTCTGATTTTTGACTTTCTTGTACTCACTGCGTAGAAATATAGTGTGCCACATATTTTGTAACCAACAATGTTAGTTGCTAACTCGTTCCATTTCAGGATTTTATGCCCTTGTTTCGCAACATTTCCGATAATTCACAATGTCCATTTCATTTCATGACGTAAATGAGGTCCGATAAAATTGTATTTCATGACGTAGATGGTCTCAAATTACACTTGAATAGGCTCGGAGTAACCTATCTTAAGTTTTAGAACGCAGAGAAAATTATCATCGATCAATCTGGTCAACCCAATTTCACGTGTGACGTGTCAGACTTTAAAACCATCTAAAAACCAATAACTACATTCCATCTGAACAAATATATCCTAAATTAAACTAATTACAACACTACATTTAATTTATTATATTTATTGAGTATTGTAATGGAAGTGCTTTAACCAGGTGTAGCCAGTCCACAACCTTTCTCCACAATATGAGGAAAGTCTTAATTATACTTATAGATCAAAAGCTCGAATACCATCTGAACACCAGTTACATACCAGTTACATACCAGACACCAGTTACCAGTTCCTGTTCAGGTTACAAGAGTAGCAAAGTGTTTTGTCTCCTCTACCTAGGAGGAGTTGCTCACTGCTATGAGAGGAGATATCAGTTACCAAATACTATCTTACCGCTTGCTAAGAAGTCTTACTCGCAGGTTTATTTTAGTTTTAGTATTTAGGCTGATTTAGTTATTTTTATTTTTAAGTTTATTTGCTTTTATTGTTGCTTGAAGTTGTAAGCTTCCAACAGTTGATAGTCGGATGATAAAGTATGCTTCGCTAAATCAGCTGATAAATGATAACTCCTATCCGTACGATATTACATGGCATTTTTCTAATATGATAACATGAGCCACTTTATATCCCAAAATGACGACACCCAATTTCTATCACCCAGTAAAATATGATAAGATGTTTGAATTAACATCACTGTCCAGTGTCCATTCTCACCTTCCTTTCGCCAGGCACAGAGGTTGGTATACGACAACACACAAACTATGGGAACTATGCAGAAGTTCATGATGTCTGTAACACGTGGTACACAGGATCCTGGTAACGCTGCTAAAACCTTTATCAGCTGTCTTACTCGGGGGTTTAGTTTCAGTGGTGCTTAGTGCTTAGTGCTTAGTGCTTAGTGCTTAGTGCCCTTAGTGCCATACTGTGGGTTATGATGGTGAACCAGAGAAGAAGTTATTGTTTTTTCGTAGGTTAATGTTGAAGATGGTGTTTATGGCTTAGTACTTTGAGTTACATATTTTATGAAATTTTTAATGGAACTAAACTTTGTATGACCATTTTGAGTACAATTTGAATTTTGTTTTTTAAATAATTTGTAATTTTATCCCAGTTATGTTAAATCTTTAAATGTATAACTTATCGGACACATTATGTTTTGTAATCGAATGATAATATTAATTGTCTCTGATAGAACATGATCTCATGAAGTGGTGTAAACTTAAATTTTGCGATACAAAATAATATTATTAGTTTATTACTGTAATAAGCATGCTCAATAATAAGCATTAGCACATTAAGGTGTTGATTCTTTGATTTATAACATTATTCATTATTAAGAGACGCCGCACTTTCGCTTTTGACTTGCAGGGTTATCATCACTTCTCAGAGTGCGGAATTTGAAGACTTATATAATATATTTGTTCGTTACTATTGTACATTATATTACTTTGTATTGGTTTCACACTTAAATCGATCCAATAGTTATAACTATAGCTACAACACTGCAAGTCAAAAAGTGAAAGTACGAGGAAATGAATGTACAGAGTACAGACGTATGTATGACGTATGTATGACGTACCTATGACGTATGTATGGCGTATGTATGACGTTTCTCAACAATTCTGATAAAAAATCCAATCGATTAATTAATTGCCTCCCTCTGTTTAGCAAGTAGTCCATTATGTCGAGTGCCCTGCCCCTCAACCCTAAACCCTTTCTCAGTGGACTCACTGGTAAACCTGTAATGGTTAAGCTGAAGTGGGGTATGGAATACAAAGGTTCGTTGTTTATAAATATCAGTTGAGCTCTGTTATTCGGACATTTTTCTTTGCCAATTTAGGTTGGTATGTGATTTATTGATGTTATCAAATTATGGATTGTATACATTTTTCCAATCAATATTTGCACGCTTACACCGATCAATCATTATTGTAACACTAAAACATTTGTTCAATCCTGGGAGAAACAAGGTTAATACAGTAAAACCCAGATTTACTGCGGAGTTTGTAGAAAAGGAAAGGCCGCGGTAAATAAGGACGCGGTATATCGGGTTTTGCAGTAAATCGGGTTTTAACTTACCCTATAGCTATGGTTCTAGTATTAGGGTAAAATATTCCAAAACGTAACATTCATATAAAACTTCAGGCTACCTGATATCTGTAGACAGTTACATGAACCTCAATCTAGCTAATACCGAGGAGTATATTGACGGAGTTTTGGCGGGAAACCTCGGAGAGGTCCTTATCAGGTAACAATTAAATATTACAATGATGAAATATTACTTAATCATAATTATCCCTAATCATGCATCAGATATGAACAACAATTTAGAACCTTCTTATTCTGTGAGTTTTACCCATTATCTCCCCTCCTTTATCAGGTGTAACAACGTGTTGTATGTAAGAGGTGTGGAGGAGGAAGGAGCTGCTGCCGAGATCATGGCTTAACGCACCACAACTTTTTAACTTTTTATCTTATATTTTATCAGGCTCTTTTAATATCAAACCTGGTGATTATGAGTGATGATGTATTTTATTTGCATCATCGTGATATTTATTTGTATTTCCAGACTAACTTATTTTCTTATGATGAGCAGATTATAGTACGATCTATATTAAAAGCTTTGTGCTGGAATGTTGAATTTTATTAATATCAAATGTATCTAAATGATATCACAATTGGTACCATCCACATCGTTTTAACTTTTTTGTTTCGAATACACTTTATAAAAAAATGTATACTTTTTAAAAAAATGTATACCTTTTTTTTAAATGTATAAATTCTAGAAGACTTGACCTAGCTGTTCTACATAATATGCAATACCTCATGATATTCTGAAGAAATCCACCTACATTGAACAACATTATTCTGAAGAAATGCACTCTATATTCAACACCATATTAATTATCAGAGTTATAATATTAAATGTAACATTTTGGTAACCTACCACTAAACCCATACCTTCTCTACAGCTAGCAACATGCTGAGTTCCCTAGCCCGGGTGGGATCCCGACTCCTACAAACATCAGCTAAACGAGTCCTCACTGCTCCCTCCCTCACTGCTCCCTCCCTCACTCGCCACATAGCCTCCATCCCTAATCCTGCTCCCGGGTTCACATGTCAGGCTGTCATGCCTGATGGTGCTTTTCAGGAGGTGTCTCTGTCTAACTACGAGGGGAAGTATGTTATTCTGTTCTTCTACCCGCTGGATTTCACTTTTGTGTGCCCGACTGAGATAACTGCGTTTAGTGACCGTGCTGCTGAGTTCCAGGAATTAGGTAATTAATTAGCTAATTATCAATTTTAACGGTCAGGTAGCGCAGTTGGTTAGAACGCCTGTCTTACAATCGTTAGGTTGCGAGTTCGAAACCCACTGACTGCCTGGTCGTGGGGTGAGCGTCGTCGACGTTCAGCTAAGGATCATGAGTGGTCTATGCAGCCCCCCGGTCTACTCAGCCGAATACTCGAGAAATCGGGTGTGAGGGTTAAATGAGGAGCTGCACATTGCAGCAAAGTCTCGGACGAAGAAAGTATGGTACACACTACCTTAACCGTCACTGGCCAAAAAAGATCCTTCGGCTTCCTGTAATTGGCTGGTTGCACTTGTGTAACATTGTGGCTGTTGGAATACACCGAAGTAAAATAAGTGTCTAGATAAAAAAAAAAAATTAATTAGGTAATTATTAGTGTGTCGAATTGATTATCTTAGATTAGACGTCATCGACTTTCCTCAAGATTGGAGCTCAATACTGCTTTCATTTTGATTTACAATATGTTTCATACACTAAGTTCTGTATAAAGTTGATAATAGTCTAATTTAATTGGCAGGTTGTCAACTACTAGCCTGCTCAGTAGACTCACACTTCTCCCATCTCGCCTGGATGAACCAGTCCCGCAAGGAAGGTGGTCTCGGTGAAATGAAGATCCCTATTCTAGCTGACCTCAATAAATCTATCGCTAAAGACTACGGTGTCCTCCTGGAACCAGTTGGTATCGCTCTGAGAGGACTCTTCATTATTGATCCTAAAGGAAACTTGCGGCATATCACAGTGAACGATCTGCCAATCGGGCGAAGTGTTGATGAAACCCTGCGCACACTGAAAGCGCTGCAGTTTGTGGAGGAGCACGGCGAGGTGTGCCCGGCTAACTGGACCCCCGGTGCTAGCACTATCAAGCCTGGTGTTGATAGTAGCAAGGAGTACTTTGAGAAGGAAAATTAGGGGTGATATTAAAGTATTAAAGCATGTTACACTTTATGGAATATGATATATTATACATGTCGGACGTCGGTACTATTTTCGTTCTAAGAAAATATTAATAAGTGTTGTACTATTAAAAATCGTTGAATGTTATAAAAGCGAATGATTGTTTTCAACTTTTCTACGAATCAGAAGATTAAATTATTCAGGTTTTTTAAAGAACTTAGATCTTTACACGATTGATATTTGATAATCAACATACCTTCATATTGTTTGCCTTATATTTCTTTAAGCTGTATCGTTCCAATTAATGATAAGATTCAAATAACCGTTCGCGTTGGCTAGCCACTCTGCTATTTGTAATATCTATAAACCTTCCTGAAATTTGTAAAGAATTAACTTATTGATTGATTAATCGATGTTAAAAAGATTGTTTCATTTATCTTCTGTTTAATGTGATTCAAGCAACCTCGATTATCAATTATTCAACACATTTAGTAAAAGCAAAGTATTCCATGGCTGAAATTTACACTATAATACAACGATCTCACACCTGACACCATTCCTAGTACTACAAAGAATGTAAGCCGTCCCTCCATTGCATCTCCCTCAATCTCTGCTCTACAACAATGCCCCTAGCGCTAGTTTCCATCGCCCCCTCCTTCCGCACCTACACCTACATCAGCATATCCGTGTACCTGCTCTACATAGCTCTATCCTCCTACTACCAGGATTTCAGTAATGGTACCGAGTTCCTCCAGCATCAGTATGAGCACTTCTGGACTGATATCTTCCTGTTGAACCTGTTGGGATGCGCGGTGGTTCAGCTCGGTGCTATCTTCATTCGCATCATGTTTGGACAGTTGCGCGCCATCGAAGAACAGAACATCCGAGATAAGATCAACCACTTTGGGTTGTACAAGTTTGTGTTTTTGTTTGGAGTATTGAATTTGGGTGAGGTAGGTTTGGTGACGAGGTGGGGTGTGTGGTGTGGGGTCCTGGCTGGGATCTCTCTCCTGGACACCCTTACTCAGGACAGAGCTCAGTATCTCTCACTCAATCCTAGGTTTGTTTTATCCGAGGAGTTTGTAATCCAGTTTATGTCATAATTCGTTTGCTGAATATATGAACTTATCCGATAATCCAGTAATCGAAATAATCTTTCAAAATGCTGATAGGTCAGATCGTTGTTTGATTATATAGGTCTGTCAAGCTAATAAAATGCACAATATTTCCGATAATAACATGGTATTATTCAGCACGCGACTACCTCATCATCTGCCTGGTATTGTACTGTCAACTATCCTTCATCTTACTACAATACTACTCTTCATTGGTACGGGCTTGATCATCTTGTGTCTTTTTAGACTTGCATGTTTGCATATTTTAACCGTTACATTGCATGATAACTCAGCTCAGAAATAAGTAGATAAATTACAGATATAATTAGAATCTTTATTTCTAGTCATTCGTCCTTTAAATTCTATCTATATCATTTATGAAATGGGCTATATTTAGTATCGGAGATGGTTAGCTCTACAAGGAGTATTCTCAAAGCTAATATGGATAATATTCGCAGGAGTGTTGTACACACGAGGAGATGACTGGCACATCACATTCTTCCTCCTAGCAGACGTGTTCCTCTTTTACCTCAAAACCCTTCACAGTCTCGTCAACTTCGGGCTTATCATCTACGAAATGTACGGTTAAAACTGTTAACACTTTAGAGCTTTAGTGCAAATAATCAAAATATGATGTCCGTTCCTTAACCGTGCTTTAAGTAACCATTGTGCGTTAACTGTGTCTTAACCATTAAGTGTGCCTTAACCGTGTGTTAACCGTGCGTTATGTGACCATCGACTGATTACCGAATTGTGCAATCTTTACCGCACCCATCTTTACCGCACCCATCTTTACCACAACACCCATCTTTACCACACTAATCTTTACCACACCCATCTTTACCACACCCATCTATACCACACCCATCTTTACCACACCCATCTTAACCACACTAATCTTAACCACACTAATCTTTACCACATCCATCTATACCACACCCATCTTTACCACACTAATCTTTACCATACCCATCTTTACCACACCCATCTCCACCAGGTACACTGAAAGATGGGAGAACAAGGACGTAACACGTTACTACACTGAGATCTCGTTTGATGTGATGATGTTGTGGGTTGAGCTCCTTCATAATGTTCACATGTTACTTTACAGTGGGGTGCTTCTCTCCATGGGCAGCTTCGTGCTCTGCATGCACATAAAACATATCTACAATGAGATAAGGAAACGTTGGGTTAGTTTTGAGATTATGTTTTTCTGAGACTTGAACCTCTTTCATCAAATTACGAATCTTGTTAATTCAATATTTTCTGAAATTTAATTTTTTAAGTTATTAAGTGATCACATCTTATGATGTGTACCTTATTTCCCCTATCTTGAGTAACATGGCTATCTACAAATTACACATGAATCCGTAACCATTTGAATCCCAATCTCTATCCCTTAATTTTATCAAACCCAGATTCGGCACAAGAACTTCCGTTCCATAATGGACAGTTTGGATCTGCAGTTCCGTGTAGCTACCACAGAAGAGTTGGAAGCTAATAACGACCATTGTGCTATATGTTGGGAGACCATGGACACTGCCAGGTTATTTAGCGTTTTGTTAGGAAGTTTTGTATTTGATTGAAACTTCGCCCGTTCGTTTGATGAATTTTGATTATGCAGGAAAAACGGTTGCGCAACGATTTGTTATCTGATAAATAGGATATGTTATTATTATCATGAACGAATAAGATAAGGCAAGACCGTGATTCTAGTACCAACATTCAAAAAAGGAATCCATATTTAATGAGTAACACGTGATCTCCTGACCAGAAAGCTACCTTGTGGTCATCTGTTCCACATCTCTTGTCTGAGAAGCTGGTTAGAGCACGATACTAGTTGTCCTACCTGCCGGCATGTCCTGTTAGCTCAGGTTAGTCAAGGAGATATTATCTGGATTTTATCTGGAATGTTCGGTATTGTGGGAATAATTCTCAGAATATTACTCACAAAGTTACATTGATATTGTCTAGAATTGAGTTTCAAACACTAAACTGATTATTTACCAAATTATTGAATTACCCTGAAGAGAAGCAAATGAATAAAACCCTGTTATATCTCAGAGGGCCTCACAAAATGAGGAAACACCCGCAGCGAGACGTAACATGGCCTGGCAATTCAGAGGGTCAAGGTGGGCCAGCTGGCTCCCCAACTTCAGCGTCCACGTGATCAGATCCCCTCAACACATCGACCTAGACTCCAGAATGGTGAGTATCTCCCCCCTTCCCCTCTTGAATCCAGGTCTTTTGATGCCTGGATATTGTAGTTAGTCGTGACTTTTCATAGTTAGTTGTTTATATTGCTGGAAGAATGGTTCTCTGTTCTCCTCATCCTATCTTGTAGACGTATCTTACTTCAGAGCTGTGTAAAGTACGCTAATTATATTTTGTAGAATTAACACACATTTATTTTGAGTAAACAAACTCGAGCTTTATTTATGGCTAGCTACTAGCCTAGCTATGTATTCTCAATGTAAAACGTCGCATAAATGTCTGAATTTTTTATTATTATACCAAATATGTATTTACAAAATATCTGGCCACCTAGATTGTATCTCAGTTGTAATATCTCTTATCTCCCTTATCAGGTGGATCAAGTACAGGAAGTCCTGCCTCACATCCACCGGGGTGTTATTGAACAAGATCTCCGCCGCACTGCTAACCCCCTCGCCACCATCGACAACCTTCTCTCAACGGAAAGGTTGTCCACACAACCTTTCCGCGCCACAGAAAACCAACCAGCACCCGCCCAGCCTGAAGACCCGCGGAATCACCCAGAGGAGCTGCCGGACGAGCTGCCAGCCCTACTGCCTCCCTCCCCCCAGCTGACCAGCACGAACAGTGTCAGTTCCTCTAACCTGGCAGCACTCCAAGATAACCAGAACTCTGACGATGACGTCACAATCCGGAGAAGGAGGGTGCTGCAGGCTGTGGAGAGAAGGCTAGAGTACCCGGAGTTCCCCCGGGTCCCTTAGTGTCCCCAGCGTGTCCTAGTTGCTGTGGTATTGCCAGGGAAGTGACGTCATAGTGTGGTAGTAGAATGTAGCTAGCAAGTCAGATTAGTTTTAACAGGTCCAGGGGCTGATGTGGGACAGTTCAGATCTATTGGATTGTGCACAAAAATATAAAATTCCTGGTTCTGCCTCTTTTGGGCTCCTCCTTCTGTTCAACAGAGGTGCTTTATAGCTCTCATAAACAAACCTGCATCTGCTTATTCCTTTAGTTTCTTCAGAGAAGTTTCTAGAGACAAAGTTCCGATGCTTTCCTAGTTCCAACTTTTTCTCTGAGAAATTTACTGTAACTAATCAGCTCGCTGAAAAGAGAGCCTGGATCATAACAAGAGCAGACAGCAGTAGAGATGTTTTATTTTAGTAACTTTATCAGAACCAATGGGAATGCTATGATGATGAGACAGGAATGGCTTATTTTCACGCTTTTTTACAGTTCAGTGCTGATGTGATAGATGAGGATATAGTACGAGGTATGGTTACCTAGTTACCTGGTTACCTAGTTACCTGGTTACCTGGTTACCTGGTTACCTGGTTACCTAGTTACCTGGTTACCTAGTATCCGTTTATTTGATGATATCGACCCGTTGAAAGATTGTGATCATGAGATTTTCAAACTGTTAAAGTGTTGATATTAGCGATGTAGTACGGTGAGATTACTGTACCGCTATCGATTATTCAACTGCTAAAGTACTAACGCTCATAAACTTGTATGTGAGGTACTGTACCTATTTTGGTATTGTACCTATTTTGGTACTTGACCTATTTTTTAGGATCAGTTTTTATGTCGTTTTCAAAATTATTAACTGTAAAGTCAAATTTGAATGCTAAAATGTTTTTGACCATTGATAAAATAAAAAAGTGAAATTGTGTCCTAGCGAAATTTGTAAATTTGTTTTTTTTTTCTGCTGATAAAAGGTTTCAGTATGCATGCTTGATTAAATCATCTGAAATGTTGGGTGACAAATCGTCATTCCGCATTAATAAAGAGACTTCTTTTTTTGGTATAAAACATTGTTATAAAGTTATAAACTGCTCTTATTAAATTATTTGTTTGCAATGATTTTGATCAGCATTATTTATTCATGTTTTTTTTAACATAAATATAACTGTTAAAACACCTTTGCGGCTTTTTATGCTAATCGAGCTCCAAATTCCAAACCAGGAATTTGGCTGGTTGAGATGCTTGAAAACATTAAAGATGTGCAATATAATGATGATCTTATAAACCACTGATTCCTGAATAACTTATTACGACCAATTTAGATTTTAATCCCAACTGTTAATAATTGTCAAGACGAAAATTAGTAATTAAGGTAAAAAGAAGACTATTTTTTGTAATTATTTCCGTTGTAGGTATATATGTGTGTGTCGAACATAAGTCTTAACTAGAGCTGATATATTTGGGAGCACGAAGAGGTTATGGTGATCTGCACAGTGTTTGATTTTAAACACCTTTATCTGAATTGTGCTCTTCCAATACATGTGTTTTAATTGCCTTCCAAAAGTATTTGAAATATGCTGGGTGTAACTGCAAAGTAACAGCTAAACGTTTCTAAGGAATTGTGGTGAATGTATTGTCTCTAGTCTCTTTCCATTGCGTTTGTTCGTTAGCATAATGTGATATAAAGGACATTTTTGAAACATATTTTTGATAAGACTGCCAAATTTGAAAATTCTGGAACTGCTCTTAAATCGTCTGTTTAAATCAGATTTATTATTTAACTTGTGAACCATAGTGTAGTTGAAATGAGTGATTTACCAGAAGGATGGGTCAAGAAGATGTCTAAAACTCACGGCAAAGAGTACTATTATAATATGGAGGTTTGTTTGAATCTTTAGTAGTGGCTCCTTTCCAGACTTTAGTAGCTGGTCACCGTCCCCATATTCCATCTAATCAGCTTAACCAGGAAAAGTTTCTGAAAAAAGTATTCCCTAAGATAAAGTGAAAGTGTTGTTTATTCGAACACGCTCTTTCTAGCCGCACTCTCACCGTTACCTTATCGCAGACTCAAGAAAGCACGTGGGAGCACCCAGAACCAGCTCCACGCGCAGACAAAGTGCGCGCTAGCCACTTGTTGGTGAAGCACAAAGATAGTCGGAGACCAAGCAGCTGGAAGGAGGATAACATCACCAGGACTAAGGAGGAAGCTCTGGAGATTCTTGACGGTATGTTTTATGATTACTCCTACTTTTTATGTTTTGAGAGTAGACTTTTTCTGTTTCAAGATATTTTGATCGAGATGTTGTAGTATAAGGTATTATATTTCAGGGTTCATCAAGGAGATAGAGGATGGAGCATCATTTGCTGATTTAGCAAAAGTTAACAGCGATTGCAGTTCAGCTAGAAACGGTGGTGATCTCGGCCACTTCGGCAAGGGACAAATGCAGAAGCCATTTGAAGAGGCAACTTTCGCTCTCCAAATTGGTGAAATGAGCGGTCCTGTTGATACCGATTCCGGTGTTCACGTTATCTTGAGAACCGGATAAGTTTTACAATTAGGTGTGCTTTGATGGGTTTGTAATATTTTATTTCGGAATTTATTGAACTACTGATTTCTTATTTGACATTCATACTTTTTAAACTATACTATTTAGTGCTTTTTATTATACAACTTTTGAAGTTCTTTGTGACATGTGGGGCATACAGGAAAAGAAAACTACTATTTTGGAAAGCGCGATATAAAATTGAATAAGATTTGAGCGCGAGCGCCAAAATTGCATTCACGCACGCGCGTTTATTTTATTGTTCGTGCGCATGGCCCGGTCGGTAGCTACACTACCAATATTTAAGTTTTCGGCTTGGCCTGTGGCCATATTCTTGCATCCCTTGCTCACTTCACTCAATTCTTGGGTCGGGTTTGGCAAGTACTTCAGAAGTTAAATTTGAATTAGGCATTTAAGGCAATACGCACGTTAAGAAAGTCATCCATTCACGTAAACGCGGCACCAATCTGGTTGTGGCTTTGTCTAAGCGTGTAAGTTCCGAGCAACCCTCATCTGGTTGCTCCCAAGACTAGATTATCTTGGTTACCACTCTTATTACTACATGGTGCATTGTTATGTAGCAGGTCAGAACACTCTTATAATTTATCTATTTATGCATATTGTGGCAGAGCAACCATGTAATATTATGCAGTATCCATTCTGTGTAGTTGTTATTAATATTTTAAAATATTTCTGAAATCAGTTCTCACCTTCTATCGGTTGTAATGATCTTATTTGTAATTCAACTGGTCGCACCACTACAATGATAAACCAATATCTTAGCAATGTAGTACTTTCTCGGCATGGCGAAATGGAGGCAATATTACAGTCCGGGTTGTCCGCCTTAATCCCAAAAGACAACCGTTTAACCTTTACAATATTGGTTGCTGGGACTGGGGCGCTAGCTTTGTTTCTGGAATACTACTACCGAGAAAGATTAACCAGTGGTAAGGATATTTAGTAGGGACTGGATTTTGAAATGATACGTATCTTTCCTTTAAATAATTCATCATATTGAAACGCTTTCGGACTGGATTTTCATTTTCAGTCCTTATAAAGTATCAATGTAACCTTTGCAGGCTTCTCGAAGAAACCGCTGCCGCATGTCGAATCTAAAGTCGAATCTGGTAAGGAAATGATTAGTTATCAAAATGTGTCCTGTTTGACTGCGAGATTCGACCATTAGCAATTAGTTATGTTAGTGATCAAGTTTTAACATTAACGCTATTGTAGCAACTGACGTCATATCATCAGTTTGGGAAAGGTTTCACGTAGTAAGAATGGCATTGTTTCAGGAAATGTGAAGCTTGAAGAAGCTATCAGATACTATGAGTCTGCCCTGGTTGACTTGCAACAAGCAGGTGCTGATAACAGCCAGCGCTTGCAGATCCGAGCAATGTTGCTCCGAGCTTACGAGATTCAAGCTATACTTTCTCCCGACGTGAGTTTTTGAGTTAAACTTTTACAAGTTTTATCCTGCAGTAACAATTATTATCAGTGTTTCATGCCTCACAATGTTGTAGGTAGTAATAATGCATTATAAAAAGGGGGTTGTTTGTTTGGGGCTTATTATTAAAAAATATGAGGTAAGGGGCTCCTTTCGGGCATGGAGTTATTCGCTAATTACTGGATATTAAATGATCTCGAAAACGAAACGAAAATCTGTATTAAATTACTAATCAACATTTAAAACAAATAAGGGGTCATCGCTCATATAAATAAAAATCGCTCATGTAAAAGTCTTTTTACACTTGCTATACCCTTTTCTACTATTCGTGTCCCAAATACCCTCTGGTTGCTCTGAAACCGCTCTCATGAGTTTGCTCGCATCGTGAAACTGATCTCTGTACAACCTCAAACTCCCAAAATATCCCGTGGGTCCGGGTAGGTAAAAGTTACCTCCCATCATCCACATACCATCGTTCTCATTGTAATTTATAGGTTCGTTGAAGCGCCAGTATTGGCACTTTGGATCAGCGCTTGTTTTTCCAGTGCTGGTACACCCGACTAGGAGGGGTCCTTTTATTGAGATAGCGAGGTGGACCCACTTTCCGAAGGGTACTGGCTCGTCAATGGCTCCTATCCTGCCTTCTTTGCCAAGGAATACTGTGATGTGGAGTTTACCTTTCTGATCTATAGTAATCAGTGGGGAGAAGAGGCTGCCCGAGTCGTCAAACCTGTCGAAATAATGATATTGAGGAATTTAACTTACATTACAAAATGTTGGTTAAGTTTAAAATTTACTATCATCCAAAATAATTTTATTAAACTAAGGTATTAATTACTATTTCCGATTAAGAAGTCTGTAGTTACTAACCTATAAAGGATACTGCATTGCTCTGCATGGCACTTGTTAGTCATCATGAACCACAGACTCAACGTAACCGTACCCTCATCTTGTGAAACAAAGTCATCATCCTTGATAGCTATCCCGCATTTTTTACCGTCCATTATGAAGGGGTACCCCTTGTTGGTCCAGTCTTGTTTTACTGGACATTGTGGGAATTTAGGATCCTGTAAAGCTAGGATCCAGACTGTAAGAGATGGGCACATTGTGAGTTTCTCAAACTTATGAACTGAGGTCCATGGTCCTATGATCTCGATAGAGTTGCGATCTCGAGAGTATTCGTACACAGCTCGCTCGTTGTCTGCCCATATGTCTATGTTAGCAATCCAACATCTCAGTTGTATAGTTTGACCCAGGACGTTATACTCCCTGTCTGGTAGCTGGAGTAGTGCTTTAGGCACTGCCAGATTCACCTTGGTTCTGGTTTTGTAGCTGTTTTTACTTGATATTATCAGCTTCTGAGACCAAACCTTGAGAGTCTTGTTGATGTCGGAGGGATCCACTGACACCAGCTCCACTCCAACAGCCATCCTCTCTGCAGAGGAATACTCTATCGTCACATTATAATCATCCTGATATGTCATTATCTCGTGAATATGTCCCCTGAACTGCACCTTAGCTGCTTTTACAGTCCGTATCTTGTGTTTGGAGCCCACTATCTCTTGAACCTCTTTATTCACGAGTGCCAGGTTTGTGTTGTACAACTTCAGAGCAAGTTCCGCTTGTCTGTTGTCCTGAAGTGCTGATAAGCTGTAATAGTAGAGCGCCGCTGAGCTGCTGGGGTGGAATGTTTTGCTGTTTTCCTTCTCCGTCAGGTATGCTGCGTTATATTGGGATGTTTCACATCCTGCTTCCCCGGCTAGCTGGTAACGAACAAACGCTTTTTGGTATTCCTTCAGGAAGTAGTGGTCAAGAGCTTGTCGGGTAAGTCTGGCGAGCTTGTCGTGTTTGACCGCTATCCAGTTGTAGTACCGTACTGCTTTGTTGCAGCTCCTCGGAGTACCTAGTCCAAACTTGTGGAGTGTTCCAGATTCCAGGGCAGCAGCGATGTGACCCTCTGCTGCAGCTTTTTCAAAGTTCTTGAGAGCCTCTTGTGATTGGGTCCTCCCGGGCAGTCAGGTCGAGCATAAACCATTCCGAGCGAGTACATGGAGTTTATATCCCCTGCAGCTGCTCCCTGCTTGTAGTACTTTAGTGCTTCAGTGAGATTACCACTGTGCTCACTGTGGAACCAACCCAGCCCGGCTAGACTCAACACAAACCCTGCCTCTGCTGCTTTCATCAACATCTCCATCCCTCCTTCCTTATCTTTCTCTGTCCCGTGTCCGTTTATCTTCATGAGAGCTGTCTCGTGAATGGCTTGCAAGTCTCCCTGGTCTGCCGCCCTCTTGTAGTAACCGTAAGCCTTGTTCAGATCCTTGCTCCTACCATGGGACCCCACCAAATGCTGAGCTCCCAGCCGTTTAGCCGCCTCAACATCACCCTCCACCGCCAGCTCCACGTTCTTCCTATGCTGCTCTCCTGCCTCCCCCTCCTGATCAAAGAGCTCCTTCTCCGAGCTCAGCTTCACTGTCTCCGCCCACACATTGTGCAGGGTCACATTGTTCATGGTCTCGTGTGCTTCCAGCGCTAACCTCTCGTAGTAAACCATGGCTGACTCACAATCCGCGGGAATCTCAGATGGGGTGTCGAGTCGGTGCCTGAAAGCGAGCGCTAGGTCGCTGAGAATGTCCCCTTTCAGGGACCCCTCCAGGAACTCCTTACCGTTGGGAGGGTAGTCGGGTGCTTCTAGCACCACCCTGGTGTAGGTTGCGTTTATACTGCCGTAACACTCTGCCTGTGCCAGGAGTTTGTAGCCTTCAATTACTTTGCCTGTAGTGGGATGCATGTATAGTTTCTTGAAATTTTTGTATTTATGTTAAGAATTTAATTTAAGTAATTTGGAGTGAACAATAAGTTTCAGCGTATCTTATTATACTAAAGAAGTATAAATATGGGTTGGTTTTTTACAAAACGCAGAGTGAGATTTTAACGGCCAGGTAGCGCAGTTGGTTAGAACGCCTGTCTTACAATCGTTAGGTTGCGAGTTCGAAACACTCGAGAAATCGGGTGTGAGGGTTAAATGAGGAGCTGCACATTGCAGCAAAGTCTCGGACGAAGAAAGTATGGTACACACTACCTTAACCGTCACTGGCCAAAAAGATCCTTCGGCTTCCTGTAATTGGCTGGTTGCACTTGTGTAACATTGTGGCTGTTGGAATACACCGAAGTAAAATAAGTGTCTAGATAAAAATAAAAAAAATAAAAAATAAAAAAAACAGCGATATTACCGTCATCTAGCAGAGGATAAGCCTGTTTAAGGAGCTGTTCTCCCACTTTATTAGCCGTATCCTCAAACGCATCATGTTCCTTCTCATCTTGGAATGTAAGAATGTAGTCTTGGAGGGTTTGAAGCCGGTCTTGCTTCCCATAAGCTCGTACAGATTGTACCTCATCATGTTACAGGTAGGTGTCGTACCGTTACCTGAGTATTTTATACATTGGTAACGGCTAGTGATGAGAACTCTACACTCGTTGTAGAGTTACTGTTCAGTGCGTTCCAATGAATATTTATGTTTATATGCCGCTTTAGTAGATCATATTTCATAAAGTTTAGAACTTAACTTATTTAAGAAATATGGCATAATCGCACAGGATGCTAGTGAAGGAGAATGTAGTACATAATATATTTAATGTAGTTTGAGGAGTCCTCGCTCTACTCACGTCAAACAATGGCGTTTCTCTTGTCGCTAATATAGTATGATTTATTTTGGAGAACGAATGCTTTACAGGGGGGGGGTCCAAGGGGAACTTTGGGGAACTTTGGGAAAGTCCCCCAAGATTTCTGAAGTTCCCCAAAAAAAAGTTCCCCAAAACTCCCCAAAGTTCCCCAAAATTCCCCAAAATTATTCAAAATTATTTAAAATTATTCAAAATTATTCAAAATTATTCAAAATTTCTCTAATATACATTAATACCCATTAATGTTAACATGTATGTTATTATAAGGTATAATCTTAACTTACTTGTTGATACTTGCAGCATGATAATTTGTTTGGCATGATAATTTTTTTGGGGAACTTTGGGGAACTTTGGGGAATTTTGGGGAACTTTCTGAAGTTCCCCAAAAAAAAGTTCCCCAAAATTCCCCAAAATTATTTGTTTCATTGATAATTTTTTGGGGAACTTTGGGAAAGTCCCCCAGGTTTCCTGAAGTTCCCCAAAAAAAAGTTCCCCAAAACTCCCCAAAGTTCCCCTTGGACCCCCCCCCCCCCCCCCCCCCCCTTTACACGGTTGCGGTTCTTGACTATTTGTAACTCATAAATCTAGTTTATAGTATTATAGATATCACTATATACGTTATACGTAAAGCAGTGCTCAGTGAGCTGCCAGTGTTTCTGCCAGCCAACCGTTACCTAGTCCTGCAAAGTGATGAGATAATCGTGCGAGAGCTAACAAATCTGCCAGCCAAACGGAGTATATAATTACTACTGTACACCAGCATTCATTATACACATTACGCATATTCTAGGACGGCTCGTTCGTTTTGTTGCATTACTGCCGTATTTATTTTCTTACCTCAGTTATTCAAGTTTTTCAAGTTTAGCTAATCAATATCATATTTTAAAGGTATTATGGCCTCTTCAAGCTCATCCCGCTATAAAATCACCTGGGTAGAAGATGTTGCCGGAGTGAAACATGCCGTCAAAGAATTAGGACGTGAAAAAGAGATTGCTGTGGACTGTGAGGGGTGGAATCTTAGTAGAGAAGGAACTTTGGATATTCTCAGTATCGGTACTAGACATCAGGATGTTTATTTGTTTGATATTGCCAAGTTGGGGGCCCTAGCCTTTGTTTCCGGACTGAAACGACTGCTTGAATCGGACAGTGATACCAAGACGAAACTGATGTATGATTGTAGGAATGATTCTGATGCGCTCATGCATCTTTACGATGTGAAGTTAGCTGGAGTTTTGGACTTGCAGTTGCTCGAGATTATTCACCGTCGTAATAAAGGACAAAAGTTTGAGTTTTTACGAGGACTCAAAAAAAGTCTTGACACATACGTGAGGGATAAAAAGATTGAAATGATCAAACAGAAGGGGGTTGATGAAATAGAAGATAGTAAGAAAAAAGGTGTCAACATTTTCGCTGCTCGGCCTCTTAGTGCTGACTTGAAAGAGTACTGTGCAATCGATACTGCTGCGCTATTTCCGCTTCTTAAACTCCTGAAAAAGCGGAAAACGGATCAGGAAATTACAATTGTTCTGGAAGGCTCTGACAGATATGCAAATTATTTTCGATCCTACGAATCACTACCCTTAAAAGACTTCATCTACAATCCTTTCTTGCCCCTCAAAATTCTACTTTTCTCCGCTGCTACTTCATCTTCCACTGCCAGTGTCGTGTCTGAGAAATGCAAGGGGTGTAGGAAGAACTTTAACAAGTCCGAGCTGAAGATGTCCTCGCTCGCGCGTGTTGACCACGCAATCTTGTGTAGGGTTTGTAAGAAGATTGAACTTAGAGCGAGGGATACGACTGCTGTTATTGAGAGTTTGAACAAATTGGAATAGAAACTAGAGTGAAAGTTTTTCTTATCGTATACACTGCACAGGATGGATGAACACAACTAGGCTTGAGACCTGTTTGATTTTTATTAGATTACGTTTCATTAAATCAAAGGAGTTTTTAATTATTTTGACGCAACAGTTTTTTGCTCACTTGGCCAGTTGGTAGATCACCGACCGGCTATAAGCCGGCTACTAACCGGCTATAAGCCGGCTTATAGCCGGCTACAATTTTATAGCCGGCTATAAGCCGGCTTATAGCCGGTTAGTAGCCGCTTACATTTGTTGTTGAGCGACGGCTATTAGCCGGTTATAAGCCTGCTATTAGCCGTTTTGGTATTAAAAGTGGTTATAAGCCGGCTATAAGCCGGTTATAAGATATAAACTCAACTACATCGTACTGAACGATAGTCAGGAGCCGGCTATAAGAAATTCAGTGAAAACGGCTATTAGCCGGTTATAAGCCGGCTATTAGCCGTTTAGGTATCGAAAGTGGTTATAAGCCGGCTATAAGCCGGTTATAAGATATTAACTCAGTTCAGTACGATGAAGTTAAGTTAATATCTTATAGCCGGCTTATAGCCGGCTTATAACCACTTTCGATACCTAAACGGCTAATAGCCGGCTTATAACCGGCTAATAGCCGTTTTCGCTGAATTTCTTATAGCCGGCTCCTGACTATCGTTCAGTACGATGAAGTTGAGTTAATATCTTATAACCGGCTTATAGCCGGCTTATAGCCGGCTTATAACCACTTTCGATACCTAAACGGCTAATAGCCGGCTTATAACCGGCTAATAGCCGTTTTCACTGAATTTCTTATAGCTGATACCTAAACGGCTAATAGCCGGCTTATAACCGGCTAATAGCCGTCGCTCAACAACAAATGTAAGCGGCTACTAACCGGCTATAAGCCGGCTTATAGCCGGCTATAAAAATTGTAGCCGGTTTATAGCCGGCTTATAACCGGCTTATAGCCGGTCGGTGATCTACCAATTTCCCGCTCACTTAAAGTGTACCCCTAATTTTGAATTTGAGATTTTTTGAAAAGCACCCAATTTTGTCTTCATTAAAGTTTGGAACCCTGTTAATTATTTAAGTTATAAAAACAAAATTACACTGCTCCTGAAGTCTCATAGAAAGGTTTTGTAACTTAAATTAACCACGGAGTTACTAATATTACCATAATCAGCGACGGAGTTACTAAGACTAGCGGAAACCCGTCTAACTCTAAAGTGGTGTCACGATAAAATAATATTTATTTATTTAGTGATTTTGACACCACTTGGGGGTCCAAATTTTGGGAGCTTAAGTTCTTATTCCTTGGCAAATTTGTATTTCTTCATGCTGGTCAAAAGGCAATAAAAACATTCAACCCAACCAAAAAGGTTTCGATGGTATATCTCTCACGGTTTTCGCGAAAAGTTGTGTTAAAGTTGATGTCGTGGTGTCAGTAAAATGGTAACAGATTATATACATATATATATCGTCTCGCTTTATATATAGTTAAATTACCATAATAAGCAACGGAGTTGTTTCAAAGCTGAACCAGGTGTGACAGCCGGACTCATTATCTATAACTCTGTATCATTGTTAGCCTAGGTCATTGTCTTCTCACAAGTTAGCCGATGTAGTGAATTAAGAGGGAACTTTTTTAAAGAAATGTTTGTTTATCTAAAGTAAAACAGCTGATGACAATTTTGTGTTACTACTGGTAATTTGACCTCTTTGAATCAAACGTTTCAACGTCCTAACTATCGACATTATGCTGTAAACACATTGAACTATCTACAGTTGAGACCAGAGTGCTAGATAGAAAAAGAGTATTGTATGTATGATGTATAGCATTAATTGAAAGCTCAGACATATTCTGATTTTTCTGGATGTGGATCAGCCTCTGATATCCATTTTCTCTTCAAGCTATTTCGTTAGATGAAGTATTAAGTACGAGCAGGATTGGAATTTGAGTGAATGTCGTTAGCATAACTGCCCGCAGCTGTTCTCGAGTGTTTCTCGTATTAACTCTGAGAGGTTCGTCTCTCTTGAGTCATTTTCCGTTGCTAAATATGAATTTTGAGAAGTTCGAGAGTACACATTGCTCAATATATTTTTTCAAGCTCTGGTATTTGATGACGATTGAAGATTTAAATACCAATTTCTTATGATTATTTCTATTTTGCTTTTCTGTCTTCTGGTTTTGTGTATACATATCTGAACTAATTTTCACTATTTCGCTTGTACTAGGAGTTTTATTTAGAATGGAAAACACAAATGATGCCGCCTCTAATCCTGCTGTCAATTCCTCTCTTCCAGCAATTATTTCGACTCAGGAAATTTCTTCAACTCCAGCTGAATCTTCTAATCCAGTAATTCCTTTAACTCAAGAAATTGTTTCAAATCAATTGGTTCCTTCAGCTCAAGAAATTTCTTCGATTGCAGCAATTCCTTTAACTTCAGCAATTTCTTTAAGTCAAGCCATTATTTCAGCTCAAGTTATTCCTTCAACTTCAGAAATTTATTCAAATCCAGCTATTCCTTTAGCACAAGAAATTTCGTCAACTCCAGATATTTCTCCAACTCCATTAACTTCTCAAGATTCAACAAGTCCTTCAGCCCCCGAAAGTGTTTCAAACTCTAATAAACATATATGGGTCGATACCCCAGAATTAATGGCGAAAGCAATCAAGGAAATTGAACGTCACAGAAAGGTTGCCTTGATTTGTGAGGGACTGAAGGTTAGCAGAATTGGTGCCGTTGACATCGTTTGTGTTGGCATACAAAATGGCAAGATGTTCATGTTTGATATCAGTGACCATGGGACCTGGCTGGATGCAGGACTAAGGGATCTGCTTGAATGTGGCAGCGAACCTGTTCTGGGAAGAAGTGATAAAATAAAGGACAAGTTTGATAAAATGAAGAGAATGTGCGAACGGAGGTTATCCAACGATTCTCTCCCCGAGATAAAATTAAGTAATAATCAAGCTCATGTTCGATTGTAGAAATGATGCGGATGCCCTACTACATCGCCATAACGTAAGACTTGACGGTGTTCTGGACCTACAGTTACTGGAAATAGTTCATCGCCGGAAGATCCGTTTGAACCACGAACTACTGCGGGATATGGATGAGTGTTTGGAAACGTATGCCAACGACATCCAGAACAAAATTGCAAAGCACAGGGGAATGGATTTATTTGAAGAAGCTAGCAGAACAGAGACGAATCCCTGGACTGTGCGACCTCTTAGTCCTGAGTTGATAGACAGCCTTGCAGCTGATGTTAACTCTCTATTCGCACTTAACGATGTTCTGAAGCGAAACAAAAGTGTCGAGCAAATGTCCCTTGTGCTTGAAAGCTCAAAACGGTACGCCGACTATTTCCGTTCCTACAGAACATTCCCCAAAGAGGTGTTTTATCGGAATGCGTACGTTCCTCACAACATTCTGATATGGATCCCTAGAGAGGCACATGACCCTCCCAGGAGCTGTGAAGCGTGTCTCAAAGTGTTCGGGATGTCAGAGCTTAGCTGCTCAGTCATCCCTGGATCACCATTATGCGCTCTCTGCATCAAGATTATTCGTCAGATCAAGCATACAACAGGTGAGTTTCCACAAATTAAGGCGGAAAATCATGTTGAACACAGCTCAAAGAGAAGACATTCGACAGCCTTACCAAGAAGAACTTCAAAATCAGTTGAGACAGCTGACCCAGTTCCTTCACGTAGACAATCGGCATCTCAAGTTGTGGTAAATTCAATTGCAACAGAGGGATTTGTTTCACCCAGGGGGATTACTGGATACCAAAACGAGAACTGCTCAGAGATGACAGAGGGTTACACGGAGACTGCTATGTAGAATCATCTGAATTCTACACGATATGTCCAAGCTTCTTGTCCAAGCTTCTTTGTGACTTTATAGTGAATATTTTGATTGAATAATTCGTATGCACGATAGTGGTTTAACCGTCCCCTTTTTATTTTGAGTATACCTTACAAGACATTTTTATAACGTACGAAATGCGACGGTTTTCCCGAAATTTCGCCATATTTTCGGACCGCCAAAATTTCGGTCGTCGTAATAGAATCCGTCGCATTATTTTTAGCTTATTCCAATAATTGTGGCTTCATCGATTCATTTTGTTCTTGAAAAGTTAGTGATATGATGGTGGGACAAATAAACACAATATTCCATGATGAATTTAATGTCAAGTAATACTTTTAAAATTTACAATAAATTACATTTATGTGCTAACATAAACGTCTTATAAGAGACTAAGAGACTAAGTCAAGATAAACAATTTAATACCAAACTCAATAAGTCATGTGATGCAGATATACTGTCATTGATCAGTAGAGTAAAATTTAGATTTTAGATTGAAATACTAAAATCAGCACTAATCAGTAATCATCTTATTACTCAAGTCAATTTAAAAAGGATCTTGTTCCGGAAAATCTTGTTCCGGAAAAAAAAATGATGAAAAATACCCTTATTTTCTGTGACGTCCGAAATGTGACGGTTTTTGTTCAATTTCGCCATATTTTCGGACCGCCAAAATTTCGGTCGTCGCAAATTGGTCCGCCACAAAAATGTCTTGTAAGGTACCCTCAAATTGTAAAAAATCTAAATCTATAGCTCAGTAATCGTTCCTGTTATCATATTCATAACAGCGTTATGTCGTCATCAGGCCAAAGTTCACCGGGGCTTTTAGTTTTGCTAGTTTTTTACTGGGCTCTATCTGTATTTCGTTAATTTTATCGTGAATTTTGATATTTTGGTTTTATTTGTAAGCTAAAATCGCATGAATCGTATTAAATTAAAGCGCATCCTCACGAAGTTTAATCAAAGTTCAATGATCAAACATTCAAGAGTGATTTCAGACAAATTCATCTGATAAAAATTGCCTAAAATTCCATACTATTTCATGGTTCATCCCATCATCAGCCTCACTCCAAGGGCTTATGATGTTTACCTAATCAATAACTATGTTAACCGAGATAAATTCAACATTTCTTTGTTAGTTGGCACAATATTTACCTCATTTGATGGCTATATATTTTTTGCGGAAAAAATTTTACGGTTTTTGCGGAAAGTCGTGCTAAAGTTGATGCCGTGCTAAAGTTGATGCCTTGGTGTCAGTAAAATGGTACGGATATAGAAACATATCTATATACATATCGTCTCGCTTTATATATAGTAAGATAAGATGTAACAATCCTGTTCGTCCACTAAAGCCCTGCATGTTTACACTATGATATTCTATGTATTCTTATTATTAACATGATTAAGGAAATAAAGCCCACATGCAAACAATGACACTGTGTTACAAGTTTCACGAGGTTTGTGTGTTAACTGTGAATTAAGTTACCTTTCTGAGCTGTCTTTCTCTAGAAGGCAATATTTATCCGATAATTAAATCTGATATCTTCATCACTCGGAGCTTGAAGACTGATAGAGTAGACTGTACATTTCTATAGGACAAAGCCGTACACTGTACACAGGGTGCTAATTGTGTCACTGGCCAGATGACTATTCAATAAAGACGAGTATTTGAACCAAGTCGTTATTATGCTCATAGGTATGCCATTAGGAATCTGGAACGTAGGGAGTATTGGCTTTTTTGAGGCCCAGTAGAGGTGCCTGCCGGTTTGTCACTATTTGTAACTTATAATTATAGTTTATATAGCACCTATGTCATAGATATCACTATAATATAGTACTGCTCAGTGAGCTGCCAGTGTTTCTGCCAGCCAACCGTTACCTAGTGCTGAAAAGTGATGAGATAATCGCGTGAGAGCTGACAATCTGTCAGCCTTACCGCGTACGGGGTATTACTTAAAAGTGTATAGAATTTGCCGGCTTTTTTCATTGTTTTGACAATAGCTTTCTAGATGATTCCCTGTTACGTCGTCAAGTAATTTCATTTAACTTTAATTTCATTTAAACTTTAATTTCATTTAAACTTTGATTTCATTCAAATTTCGTTTAACTGTTGTGTGTGTTCAGTTACACAAATGTTGTGTTTTCTATTCAATTTCTTTTTAGAGTTAGTAATTATATCTTAGTCCACCTACTTTCTTTACAGCTTTTGAGGGAGTTGTTGTTACTTTGTTAAGGAGTTGTTACTTTGTTAAGGAGCATATGTAGGACACTCTTGCTCATTCTTTCATCAGGAGGTGATATCGAAGAAAGATGTGTTGTTAATAAATCTGTTTTACGTGATACCTCCATATTGTCGTCAAGGACAAAAGGTAATCGCGGCATGTGCGGAATCACGATTTTCCCATTCTCCGCGACAAATCGCGATTTTTTCAGCTCTCCGCGAAAAATCGCATTGTCCTTTATCCTAAATCTGAGGGCCAAATATTATACGTTCTTATATGTTCTTATATACTTTCTTTATAAGTAGTATATGGAACCAATCCTAGCCTTCCAATTTCCGAATGTAGGTACGGACTAGGAACCGACCGGATATTCACGCGGCTGAATCCGGTTCCGGCCGGATATCCGAGTAGCATGAAACGTGAACAAAATTAGTTTCTAGAAAAACTTTGAAAAGATTTTGACTTTACAAATCTTTGGTCAGAGTCATTCTCGATACGTACCTCTGAAGGCAGAGCTCCCGCTTCCGAGCTCGTATTGCAAAAGGAGGCCTGCCTTCCGAGATCGTATTACAAGGAGCTGAGGAAGCCTCGAGTCCAAAATTGTACATCGAGGAGCTGTACTAGGAACGGACTTTAGAAAACCAAAAATAATATGTACTTCGGCTCATAATGATCAGGATAGCATGAACCGTGGACAACCGTCAGTATTTCTTAACCCACTCGCCTGTTGACCTAAAATGAAAAGTAGTCGCACTTTTCAATTCGACGGTCTCATACGTACTTTTAGTACTGTCCAAAAAACCTAACAATTGTTTTTGAAATACGACTTCTCATCTAAGCTGCTGACGTAACTTTGTCACTTGTTAGCCAAGAACTTCCCTAAATCTTGACCACTAGACATAAACAATAAACATGACCATTACTACTAGACATTCAGTTGACCAATAGACATAATGATAAAGTTAATCACTCGATTTTTGGCCTAAATAATCATGATTTTCTTTTGTCCTTAATTGAGATATGATTATGAATTATTGTGTTATTTATGATCTGATTTTAATTTTCCACAAATTCACTGATTTATAAATAATGGTGGTTCTATTACCGGAAACTTTCTCCCTCCCTGGCCTCCCTCCCTCACTTGTTTTTTTTTAAATAGCGCATCAATTTGTGGTATTTTTGCGATTCTGTTTAAATCACTCTCTTCGCTAGCCTCACCTCTCTTAAATCATGGTTTTTATCAGTCTACTCAACAAACTATTGTTATCAGATTACATAGGATAGTTGTATATAATCTGACTTTTATCTCACTTATAAGCCTCTCCCGACCCCGTGACTCTGCCAGCTACTATCACGTGACTATGAGAATTGAGATAATAACTGTATCTCCTCATCATGATGCTGGATTATGAACCAAATCTACGATAGAGTAGTACCGTATCAGAATGGAACGGCGAGTTTATTTCTGTGAATCAAATCAATATTTTGTTTACTGTTCCAAGATTTCTAGCCTGTAGAAGTCTCTACTCCTCTGCATTTTCAATATCCAGCAGTAAGATTAGTATATTCCAGTAGTCCGATGAGTGATTCGTTTTTAAATTAAGCTCTGCAAGCTCTGCAAATACATTATCTTTCGTCGCAAATTCGCCGCGATTTTGCCGTGATTATTCTTAGTTTGGCTTGTCGCGGCGCCGCGATTTTTGGTCTAAATGACGAGTTTTGCGTTGTGCAGTAGACGTGTGAACTCTATGCCACTGCCGTTTTATCGATAAAGCTGATAAAATATTTTTAATTACTGCTTCTTAGCAGTGCTTCTACTTTCTAGTGCTAAAATTGTTAAGCTGAAAAGGCTTAATAAAATATAAAGTTTGATTAAAATAAACTATCATTTTAGCTTATGGACTGATGGCTTCATCCAGTAGATCAACACTTTACGAAAACCTGAAATTGGTGGATACGGTCGCTAAGGTGAAAACCACTGTGAAAGAGCTTAGGCGTCAGAAGGAGATTTCAGTAGATTGTGAGGGAAACAACTTAAGTCGAGAAGGTACTCTTGATATTCTTATCATTGGAACTGTCAATAGGAAAGTATTCTTGTTTGATATTACAAAGATGGGTGTCAGCGCATTTGATGCTGGGCTACGAGATCTGCTTGAATCAGGATGTGACGTCATGGCGAAGCTGATGTATGATTGTAGGAATGATTCTGATGCGCTCATGCATCTTTACGATGTGAAGTTAGCTGGAGTTTTGGATCTGCAGTTGGTGGAAATTGATAGTAGACGGAAAAGCAAGCAGAATCATTGGTTTTTAAAAGGATTGAAGAAAAGCATCGAGGTATATGATCACGATGAAAAGAGTGAACGTACTAAAAAGAACGGGACCGAACAGATCGAAGATGCTAAACGTAACGGAACAACTATTTGGGATAAACGACCTCTTAGTCCAGATTTAAAGGACTATTGTGCTGTTGACACAGTGAAACTGTTTTCACTTCTGAAAGTTTTTCGAAAGAAAATGGAAAGAGAAAAAATGTTAGAGGCCTCTGAGCGCTACGTTGACTATTTTCGATCTTATGAAACTTTTCCGGAGACAAAATTCTACCGTCATGGATTTCTTCCAGATGAAATTTTGCGAAGCAATCCAAGGGATCCAAAAGTACAATACAATGATTGTCAAGGGTGCAAAAAGAAATTCAAAAGGGCCAGGCTTGATCTGGTAAATGCCGGAGAAAAGAAACGTGCGAACTTCTGCAGTTGTTGCTCCCGTATCATAACACGAATCGAAAACCAACCAATACCATCGCAATCTTTTGCATAAATACTTTATGTTCCCGATCCTTAAAATGTGTGTTACAATTATTATCAAGGTCCTTAGAATTGGGATATGCCTATTTTTCTTGAAGATTAACAAGTCACTAAAGTGATGAAAACTTTCAAATAATTCATGAGAATTAGTTATGTACATTTTGGTATCAAAACGGTTTGGAAGACAAATGTGATTTTATGTATCTTATTCTTGATCTGTACATATTGATTTTCATATTATAGTTATACGATGAATGACGTTATTGCTTTTAATCGAGTTATGATTTAAATATAATCACAATCAGTGATTATATTTGATAGGTAACTTTTTTCGCTCTCGTGATAGGGTCAATCATATTTGAATCTTTGGGACGGAATGAGAGTCTCCACTCAGTGTGGAGACTCTCATTTCGTCCCAAAGAATTAGAAAAATATTATTACATTTAAGGTGTAAAATTATAGATTTTTTAATTGTAAAAATTATCATTAGTTCAATTAGTGTACAAATTGTATTGTAAATGACAAATAGCAGTTGATTTTATGACTACAGGAAATTTGATTTGTTGCGTAATTCGCTAATTTATGTGTGCAGTTTTAAAAACTCAATTTTAATGTAAATTAGAATTTGATACTTGATTTCCCAAAAAGTGCTCGTTTATTTGTACCATATTTAATACTAATCTCAATTTCCAAAATTACCTGGCCATCCTTATCCTAACCGAAAATACAGGACCTCGGAAATTTAAAAAAATAAAAACAGCCGAAATCGGCTTTCGCATTAACTTTAACCCAACAGTGCAGTTGTGGCACTTTTAGCCATACTTATTACTTTCTGATACTGAAATCTATTGATATAATAATTAATATAATATAATAATATAATAATTCGTTCAACGGTCCTGGCATCTTCAAACTATTTGCAAAAAATACCAATGACAAATAGGCAGGTTCATCAACTGGACCTCTCAGTAGATTTCTAATCATGCCCAATCGATTAGTATCAAGCTGTAGTTCACTGTTGCAGCGTGAATTAAATAAATATCGTTATTAAAACTAATTACAACTTATATTTTAGGGCACGTTGAGCTGATGGCTGCATCAGGGGAATCTATTCTTTACGTTAAACATGAATGGGTAAATACAGTCGATAAAGTGGCAGAATGTGTCGAGGAGTTAAAATATCAAAAGGAGATTGCAGTGGACTGTGAGGGGTACGACTTATGTCGAGAAGGTACTCTTGATATTCTTAACATTGGAACTGCAAATAAAAAAGTGTTCTTGTTTGACATCACAAAGATGGGTGTCAGTGCATTTGATGCTGGTTTACGAGACCTCCTTGAATCAGGAAGTGACGTCATGACAAAGCTTATGTTTGATTGTAGGAATGATTCTGATGCGCTCATGCATCTTTACGATGTGAAGTTAGCTGGAGTTTTGGACCTGCAGTTGGTGGAAAGTGATTATAGACGAAAAAACAGGAAAAATTATAGGTATCTAAAAGGCATGAAGAAAACTATCCAGATATATGCCCCAGACAGAGAGAGTGAAATGATTAAACATAGCGGAGGCGAAAAGATCAGAAATGCTCAGAAAAATGGAACACCTATCTGGGACAAACGACCACTTTCGTCAGATTTACTGGATTACTGTGCTGTGGACACTACGAAAATGTTTTCACTTTTGGAAGTTTTTCAAAAGAAGATGGTTAGAAAAGAAATGTTGGAAGCCTCTGAGCGCTACGTTGACCATTTTCGGTCTTATGAAATTCTTCCTGAAACAAAATTCTATCGACATGGAATTATTCCAGACGACATAATGGTTTCCTATCCGAGGGACCCAAAAATGGCATACGGTCTTTGTCATGGGTGCAAAAAAGAGTTTCAAAAATCTTGGCTAGATAAGGTGGCGGTGGAGAAATCGAAATGTTTGAATTACTGCGGTTGTTGCTCTTTCATATTAACAACTCCCGACCATTTAGGAAACTGTTAAAACTGATTTTTATTTACTTTTTAAATCGAGCAAACTAAAAATTTCAATTGTAGTACGTTTATTTTATTTTACTGGAAAATATCTCCAAAATTACGTCAACGCATGTGACTCGTTTGAGAATTTTGAGGTATTTATTTATTTTCTTAAGGTTAAAGTATTATAGAAAGTATTTAATGTTTAAGCAATAAGCATGCATTATAGTCTTTAAAAGTTTGTATCTACTGATTTGTGAGATGATGAACGTTGTTTTTGCTTTTGGTCCGGTTGCGATTCCGATGTCAACATTATAATTATTGATTGAAAAGTCAATTGTTAAATTTTTATTGGACTGAGTATTTTTTTGTAAATGATAGATCTCATTTGATTTTTTTGGTATTAAAGTAGTCAATAAATTTCGAACGTTTTCGGACATTTTAACTGTAATTTTTATTTATTTTCGAACTATGCATGTAAGTATTTCTGAATTCTATCTAAGTTCTTTGTTATAATATTCTATATCATAAAGTAGCATTCGACTAATTTCTCTTATGATTCCTGGTTTCATTGTATAGTATCATGTTCCTGTCTGGTTTTTAAACGCGACGAAAATGCTTAATTTCCTAACAACGCCTCAAGTTTAAAAATGTTTTAAAGCTGTATATCAGGGGAAATCAGAAAATGAAAAATCTCACCTATTTTGAACATAGCGTGCTTGATAGTCGGCCAGCTAATCTTCCCCGGGTCCACATGCTGGTTAACATAAATATCTGTCATCCCCACCGCTCCATCTACAGAAGTATGCCACAAATTCCCACCCAAATTCCAATCAAAATGCACATAGTTTAGCTGGATCATGTGATCGTATGTGTAGAACATCTTCCCCACCTCCTCTGTATTCCTGTACCTTACCAGTACCTGCATCTGTAACTTGTAGATGTTTAGTTGGACTGATACCCACTGATGTAATGGTAGTGTGAATCCTGAAATAACCAAATCCGCGGGACCGGAGACAAGCTGAGCAAAGAAAACCAGTTTCCCTTCATTTGTTAAATAAAGAGATGGACTCTGAGGTTGCCCCTTTTTATCGATCCTACTCAGAATCGTACAGCGTTCATTTCCGGGTTCCTTACAATAGTTCCTTAAGTACAGCCAGGTGGTGAATGTTACTTTTGGGAAGGGGGACAGTTTCTGAGGCATGTGAATCAGACGGACTATCCCAACACGTTGAGATTTGAAAATAACCGGATACTGAACAAGGTTCTGAGGGTGTGTGGGGGTTGTGTCGTAGGGGTGGAGAGACATACTGAGAGGGAGAGGAGTAATTGGGAGGAACAGGACGAGGAGGAGAGGAAGGAGCATGGTAACAGTCCCAGCCTTCCCCTGGAGTTAAAAATGTTAACTATCCGTTGAAAATTTTAAGAGCTAATTCGACTAAAGAACTGTCAGATTTGTTCAAACAAAATGTATTCACGAGCAAGTATTGAACATCATTCAAGTCACTGAATCTATCAACCAGAACAGTAATTGCCATAACCACACAAAGTCCGAAGGTACAATTTCGGGAGTAGTGTCAGTGAGCTTGTACACTACTCCCCGAGTTACCTTCTGTAGTGTACATGGTACGCGCTGCTACATGTGCAGAGTGCACGTATATCGATGAGGTTGTACAGTGCTGCGTCATAAGGAACACTGCTCTGGGGAGAGATGCTGGTCAGCTCTTTCTCCTTATATGGGCACTGATTAGAGGCTCATTTTACGTACATAATGCTGGCGTTACAGATAGGAATATTCGTGTTGTTCAATATTTATTGAAAGAGATTAGAAATCTGTTGATTTCATATAACAAAGTTATTCGTTTCCGGAGGAAATTTGTTGATTTTTTATGTAATATAGTTAATAGGTATTCTTTTCAGGAGTTTAATATGAGGTCGAGTATAATGATAGAAGGTGCCTCTTCAACCGTTATGAAGGAGATAATCCAAGAAAATCTTGAAGAACTTGACGCAGGTACCAAAATCTGACTATTTTACATACTTTTTAAACATTTAAACTTAATCGCACTTGGTGGGTTTTGATTAATGTGAATAATTACATATGGAACCGACCGGATATCCAGCTGAACCCGATTCCGGACGGATTTTTAACTATTTTAATCCAATTTCGTTAGCCGGTATCAAATGGACAAAAAGGGTTTCAAACGGTCGAAATTGTTATCTAGTATTCAAAAAAGGGTATCAAATGGACGAAATTCAAACCAATCAGCCTCTCGGTGCACGTTCCTCACTTGATCGTATTGTTGATCAAAACGCAAAATACTTGTTTGTCTAAACTTTATCACGTTAGATTTCTGATCGAAATAACTTTAAATATCTTCGTCATGTAGTACTATATATTATATAAATATTGATGAAATTTGATTCTAGGGAATGTGTTGAAGATTCGTAAATCTGTTTATTAAAAATCAGATCCGGTGCAATCCGATTCTTTTAAAAATGCCTAAACGAGCTGGTTCCAGTTCCAAAATTGAAATCCGGTCCGGTTCCGGTCCAACTGTTAGAAACTGATCCAGTTGGTTCCTAATTACATGTACGCTCAGTAACGCCCTCCTTCCTCCCAGGTTCAGCGATACAAGAAGCACCCTCCACCAGATCCATCACTCAGCTTCCTTGCTCCCGTGTTAGATCAGACTCTCTGTCCTCAGCTGCTCTCTCTGACTTCTACGAGGCTTTCGACTTCCTTGGTCAAGAGGAGAAGGGGGAGGAAACTTTACCTGCTCTGTACAAGGTATGTTATATGTACATTGTACGTGTGTATTAGTGTATAAAGGGCATTAGATCTTTAGATTGATAACCGCGACATTAATTGTGACGCAGGATCGTCATAATGCGATACACCGCATGTACATTTTATTGAATTTTATTGATTTCGCTACAGACAAAGGAAAGTGAACACAATGCAAACTCCATTCAGTTTTGAGAAAGCTAGATGACACTCAATAACATGACAACACTTTAATACACATTACACAATATTCCGAACGAAATAATGGCTTATTAATTGCGGGGTTGATCGAGTACACTTAATTCGTATGAGACATTATAGCTTGTTTGTTTATGAGACATAGCTTGTTTGTTTGCTGTACAACCGCGGAATCCCACAATGTGGGACCCGCATTTTATGAGGTAAAATTGCTCAATTAACGGTTGTAACTTGTAATATGTCCATTAGACCGGTTCATTTTACCAAAAGTTGTTCAAATAATTAGAAACCCTATCTTATTAGTTGCTCTATAGGGTCAGCAACAACCAAAAAAAAATTTTTGACTCTAGTGTTTCGGATAATGTCTCCATGGGCCACGCCCATTTTTATGGCGTTTCTTATACAGGTAAAATTCTCTAAATCGCCAATTTAGTCATGAAGGAGTATGGAAGGAGTTCTAAATGTGTGCTCCTCTAATATAAACAGTAGAAAATGGTTAACTTTAGTCGAGGTCTCAGGTCTCTACAATGTCGGGAAGTTCCTGCAGGAGTTTGCGCATTGCGCTGAAGCGTGAGATTCACTGCGCCAAAAGCGAAGGTCGTAGAGACATGAGACCTTGACTAAAGTTAACCATTTTATACCATTACTATAAGAGTGTGACACTTTCAGAGTCCTGAACACACTCCTATATCTCTTAATCGTCAATTATATGAATTTTACCTGTTAAAATATATCATCTTCAACTGATATCAATTTAGTTTAACACTGTTAGCTTTAAAAAAGAAAAGAATTTACTTCACACCAAACTAACGCACAATATGATAATATAAAAAAGGAAGGTTTTCCTTGGATTCCAAATTCAACTTTGATTATATCCTGGCACTGATTATCATTTCTCGATTGTTCTCCATTTTCCAATTCAGTCAGCAAGTTCCAATTTAGGTAGACTAGGTTTTCGAATATTCATATTATGTTTATAAGCAGGCAAGAAGGGGTTTGGTTACCAGAGGAATATCTTCTTGGAACAAGGGAATTAATGAGGTCTTCACTTATTTCTTCATAACTCGTCACTGACAGTCCGGACAGGATGAGCATTGACGAGATCCACTGATTACTTCATAGCTCGTCATTGATAGGATCAGTATTAAATGAGGTCGAATGATTACTTCATAGCTCGTCACTAACTGGATCAGCATAACATGACTAACAACTAACGAGGTCCAGTGATCTCTTGCTGATACGTCAAGACAAGATCAGTAAATAGCTATAAATATCGAAAAAAATTAGCTTAGAAATAACAGAGTGCAAATGCCTTCTTCACAACTATCGGCTATGAACGGAACAGATGAATCTCTTCTTTGGCCTCATCATTTTAAATCACTCATTCCCTCCGAAACAAGATAATGCTTAGGACTAGGAGGAACTTCTTGTATGATTCGGTAAGAGGAAAATTCCTTAGTAAGCTAACATTCTTTTGTAGGATGTTGCCACTTATCATATCTGTTATCCAGCATAATCCCACAACTAGACCCTCTCATTCTTGAGTCTTGACAATGACAGCAGCTATGTGCACTATTTTAATGCTCGGTCCAGGTCGTCTCCAAGAAAACCTTCCTTTTGTATACTCTCAGATTGTGTGTTAGTTTGGTGTGAAGTAAATTCATTTCTTTTTTAAAGCTAACAGTGTTAAACTAAATTGATTTCAGTTAAAGATGATATATTTTAACAGGTAAAATTCATATAATTGACGATTAAGAGATATAGGAGTGTGTTCAGGACTCTGAAAGTGTCACACTCTTATAGTAATGGTGTAAAATGGTTAACTTTAGTCAAGGTCTCATGTCTCTACGACCTTCGCTTTTGGCGCAGTGAATCTCACGCTTCAGCGCAATGCGCAAACTCCTGCAGGAACTTCCCGACATTGTAGAGACCTGAGACCTCGACTAAAGTTAACCATTTTCTACTGTTTATATTAGAGGAGCACACATTTAGAACTCCTTCCATACTCCTTCATGACTAAATTGGCGATTTAGAGAATTTTACCTGTATAAGAAACGCCATAAAAATGGGCGTGGCCCATGGAGACATTATCCGAAACACTAGAGTCAAAAAATTTTTTTTGGTTGTTGCTGACCCTATAGAGCAACTAATAAGATAGGGTTTCTAATTATTTGAACAACTTTTGGTAAAATGAACCGGTCTAATGTCCATTTGGAACATCGTGATAGCTGTTTTGTTAGATTTTGTGGATGAATTCCAGGGCTTCGCCCACCATCTGATATGTTAGTTAGTTTAGTTCATATTCTCTCAGGACCAGATGTTCCTGCACAAAGTGAAGGAGTTTCAGTGTCGTAAGAATCGTTTTCTGCAGTTCAGTCTCTCCTCACCAAGCGAATACCTCGTCAAGGTTTAAAGTTAAAAATGAGAGCTAGATTTACATTCGGGTGTAATTGATTTCATTCGGTTTACATAATCTTGGTCAGTCTTTACCATCATAAAATGCTAACCATCCCTCAGGTTCAATGTCTGAGGCTCGCATTTGATCGGTTAATGAAGATTCCAGATCAACGAAGTTGGATGGTAGACATTGGACGGAGCAACACAGAGAAACTTTTAGAATTGGCAGGGGCCGACACCCCAACTTTCTGCCAGGCTTATGACGACATGATGGAATATGTAGGGGACTTGGGGAACCTGCAGTCCATTAAAGATGAATTAAAAGGTCTGTTATACTGATATTTGCTTATTTTTACTGTTCTATTTAGTGACCAAATCACTTTTTATACGCTACGAAGTAAGCATATATTGTGGGATTGTTATGCTAATGAAGGACGAGGCGAGCTAATTATTCATGAGATTTTATTGTTAAGATTTTTATCAATTCAGTTCGACGAGTAGCAGCAGTGAACATATTCGATATCGTTATAGACTTTTGTCTTCTTGATTCCTTCGATGATTTGGACATGGTGAGCCACACTCTTTTACCAGCAGTAGCCTTTATAACTAATAAGCAACTTTTTCCTCAATCATTTATAAGATTCCCTAAAACGTTCAATGCAGTCCTCCAGAAATTGAACCTCCGCAATATCATACTCCTCAAAACTAACTCCACCACAGCCTCCAGCCTCAGTTACAGCTGTTTTAGGGAACAGTTGGATCTCACAAGGGCTAAGGAAAACCATGCTCTCCACTGCAGTCTGGGGAATGATATCAACTAAAACTAAAAAGGCGCAACCCGATGGGTTCCTTTGTAAGTTGTGAACGATTATAATTACTGCCATTTTACAAGTTTATTCTTACAGATACAAGTTTAAAGATATTTCTTAGTCTCTGATTTTATTATTTGTAAGTGGTTACCAGCTGTTATAGTATCTAAAATATGTTGAAGCTGATTATTTTATTCTGTTTATTTCAGGCCGTTTTTACGCCATTATGGCAGTGGTAACCCCCTCTTTAGCGTGGGGCTTCCTCGGAGACGATGCTGTGCTGAAACCTATCTGTTCTTCCATCCGGGAGAATGTTATGAAAATGTTATTAAAGGTAATGATAACTGTTTTGTAGCTTTTTGTTGCTTTCACCCGCCCGGGTTTAAATGCTAATTTTTTGATAAATAATCTGTTCTCTAACGATATCAAAATAATATGCTTATTTTCACATTTCAGGCGTTTGACGAAGATCAAACGGATTACTCGTCACTTGATAGCTTAGCAGAGGCACTCTACAGTCTACTCCAAATGTCAGCAAACCAATTACTGGAACAATTAAATGATGCTATGTCATAGTAGTTTATCTTACAGGATAATTGAGAAATTGGAACCTTCGTTTCGTCAGACAAACTATTAGCTAAAGAAGAAGCATCACTTTGATATAAATCGTACGAACATAAGTTTGAACATTTTTTTGAAGAGGACAAATTGTGGACCAAGAATCAAGATGACCATATTCGTGGATTGGTACTTACTCTTTTATTCGGATATTAGAAACCACCCAAAGACTTGAAATTAGAAACTGGATACTATAGTTAAAGTCTATTCTTTGTCACTGTATCTTCTTGCCTGCTTGTCCAGGAGAATACGAGTGCAGAGTGACGAGACATTAATATTAATATTATGTTTTGCGTGCCCAAGTTTCTGATATGCTTGATAATTCAGTTTGATAGTTGGCACTTGGTTTGATAGTTTAACGGATTTGTATTTGTATTTGTTGTGACAGTTACTTGTTAGGTTTGGAAATATATATTATATCAGAAAGTTGTCTGATTACTATAAAATAAATTACTCAATAAACGCTGTTTCATTTGTGCAACCCTGAAGGCTAACCTTAAACAACTGTTTTTAGTTTTACAATTACAGGCTATAAGTATAATAATGCCCATCAACATAGAGATTCGTCGAAATGCCAGGCTGAGCGCCGCCTGCAGTAAGGCAAAACTTGTAATATCACGCGTAGACACCTGACACAATATGTCAAATGTTTGGTTCACGATGTCGATCCTTCCCAGCTCGGCGAGGCCCAGTGGTGCATTAATCGACGATGTCAATTCATCGCGGCACAGTCGCGCATCTCGCCGATCTAGCGAGTCGTTGCGAGAATCATAATTGAGTGCGCGGCACAGTAACTGAAGTGGTGCATTTTGCCGATCTACGGTTGCGAGAAGAATTATTTGATGCGCGGCCCAGTAGTGCATCGCGCTACAACTACAAGTCAAATGTTATATCACAAATTCAAAGTAATAATATGTTTAATACCCAACCCAGAAAACGGATCTAGATCACTTTCATGGCACCGATTTCACATAGCCATGTGTCTACGCGTACTGCGTGACGCGCTTGTTTCACAAGTAGATTTTGCCGCCTACGGCGGTCGCGCGCTACTGCAAGCGAGAGGGCTCTGGTTAGAGCAAGCACCGATCTAGATCACTTTCATGCCTAAAGGTAAGAAGTGCGCCATCGACAGTGAGCCGCACGTGCCGACTGTAGGATGGTTTTTAAGCGCTAATTTCGGCCAGCACAATTTTCTTCAAACAAATAGATATTTATTGGAGGACTTCGCCGCTTCGACGCGCCGCGCGAACTAGCATTCTTGCGAACTAGCATTCGCATCGATCGTTGCTCTGCTTCGCAAAGCGACGATATCGATGGGTTGACATCGTAAACCAAAGATATTTAGAATCCTTCCCGACCTCCAATTGCAACAAAAATTGGTAAGCTTACTCATAGACTTACAAGGAAAGTGTCCGAAAAATTTAAAGCATATCCAACCATCAGAAATTATGTTACAGCTAAAAGCAGCGTATTTTGCCCCATTTTGATCACTATATCAACTCCGATATCCACCAAATTTTTTGGACAGATGTGAAAGCCCTATCACCTATTGGAAGGTCGTCGCCAATTTCCAGAATGATCTCATTTAAGGAACTGTTACCTGGGGACCTCAGGCTATTATGTTCATAAACACGAATAGAGATTAGGCGGAATGACAGGCTGAGCGCGGCCCAGTAAAGGAACTGAAGATATATCCTAATAATACAAAAATGGTCAAATTTGGACGAATTTGGTCAAATTACTTGACTTTTACAGCCTAGCTACTTTTGCTCCAAAAGCCGCGCACCATCGAATATGGCACCTTGGCGAAACTCACTGATCTTTCCAAAAAGGTATGACAAATTTGGTATTGTGAAAATTCTCACAGTCCCTAGAAAACATTGGTACCAAAATTTTAAAAATCCGAGCAAGTTTATTTTGATCGTGCACCCCCTACTAAAGGGCATTTTCACAAGAATTTTCTTAAAATTTGGGCGAGCTATTTAGTAGGAGCGGCCGGGCTCGCTAGAGGTGACTGATTTTCAACAACGTCAAACGTTGACATTGACATACGTTGCATGCCACTTTTCGCGCGCGAAGCGCGCGCCGCCAAAGGCGGAAAAATAATATGATATTTGGATACGAAACATGTATCAACGTTGACATACGTTGCATGCCATTTTTCGCGCGCGTCACGTCAAGTTCACTTTTCGCACGCTATATTTAGCCTAGTAGTCATGACAACCACATTACTGTGCAAAGTTAAAAAGCTGCGATATTTTATTTGGCCCAACATCAAACTGTAGGGTCTATTTCATAATTTAGGTTGTCCCAAATTTTGCTCTTGGGGAACTAATTTTAAATTTAAAAGACGAACATTTTATTGAAAACCGGAAGGTTCTATTTATTTTACTTTTTGAGATTAAATAGACCGCAGCCAGTAAGATTTACTGGGAATCTGCAATCATATTTTTAATTTAATTTTCGTTCATGTTGTATAAGGTTTATAACCTAACAAGACGCGCGCCTAGTTGGACTCGTCGACGGTATTATTTTGTATTTGGAACAAAATATTTAGAACAAACATTTTACGAGTATCACCCATTAATGTTTTGCCATACGTTGTATGACCCGCCGCGCGCACGAGTGCGCGGCTCCCCCTTTATCGTCCCTCTTTATCGTCAGAACGATAGTGAAACGACCGTGTGAAATGACCGTGGGGGTCAAGACTTGTAGGTTTACAACCTATACTACCAGGACGTGCGCCAAGTTGGACTCGTCGACGGTCCAATATATGGAACAGATATTTTACGAGTATCACCTGTTAAGTCAAGACGCGATACAATTAATGTTTATTTTTAACGGTTGTCCATTGTTAATATGGACTAGCCCGGCACGCGCTACTTTGTAGCACTTGCCATTTCAAGAAGAAAGCGGCGCGCGCTACTTCGAAGAAAATTAGATGAGTAACATCCATCAAGCGCTATACTACTACTTCGAAGAAATTTAGACGAGTAACACCCATGCCATCAAATTTAATAGGTGATACTCGTAAAATATTAGTTTCAAATATTAAAACAAGACCATCGACGAGTCCAACTCGGTGCATGCGTGTCTTGGTAGGTTATAAACCTACAAATGTTCAATGTTATAAAAAAATGTAAAAATTTTTTGAAAAGAATTCGAAATTGCATTTTTATCTAAATAAATTACTGTAAAAAGTTTTGAGCCTGAAATTTGTCATTTTTGGTCCATTGATAAAGAGTTTAGTTTATATTTTATATTTGTGGTAAAGTGCTCACTTCAGGGGTATTGTTATGTAAGGACCCAGGCTTAGTGTTCATAAACAATAAACACACTCGAACTTACCATCAGAGAGGAGTTCATTCCAGCAATCCTTGATAGAGCATTTAGTTGCACTGACACTCTTAGAGAGATCTTTTCTCTACCACCAAGGTATGGAGGGCTGGGTATCCCTATAATAACAGAACTGGCCAACTCAGAGTTCCTGTATTCAGTCAAAGCTACAGTTTTGCTAAAAACGGCTATACTAAGCCAAGAGGTAAACTATCTTGACGACAAGGATAAAAGCCATGAAATCAAGACATCCATCAGTAAAGATCGCAATGAGTATTACACCAGAAGACAGGAGGCAATTCAGGAGTCTCTGCCACAAACATTTAAACTTATGTTACAGCTAGCAGCAGAGAAGGGTGCAAGTTCCTGGCTAACCACCTTACCACTCAAAAGCTATGGTTATCTCCTGAATAAGCAACAGTTTTCAGATGCTATAGCTTTAAGATATAACCTGAAGTTGAAAGATTGTCCAAAACTTTGTACTTGTGGTGATTCCTACTCCGCAAACCATGGCCTCACGTGTAAACTTGGGGGTTATGTGACCTTGAGGCATAACTCACTTCGAGATACAATAGCTAATATCATGCGGACAGTCAAATGCAAAGACGTTCAGACAGAGCCCCCTCTTCTTCCAGTCAGCGGCATGCAGTTACCACGAGGTACAGTAACTGGAGATCAAGCCCGACTAGATATATCAGCAAGATCAGTTTGGAATGCGTTGGAAAGAGCATTTTTTGATGTAAGAGTGTTTCACGCTCCTGCTCCAACCAACGCCGCTAAACCAATTCCTATGATGTATTTGATTTTGATTTGAAACTTTTACAAAATAGCAAATATACAAATGTACAGCAAATCGAACAAACATATAAAATGGGCCGAAATGTATAAATGCTATAAAGCGTGGGTCAGTGAAACAAGTACAGAGGACAACTTTTAAAACACGAGGTTTATGGCCGCCCAAAGTCTCAATAACGTCACCTCCACCTAGTAATAAAATTATGAAATATGAAGTGTGAAACAAATTATGAAATATGAAGTGTGAAACAATCAAGAAATAGCTTGTATATAAATTATAAAATTGTCTCTCAAATACAGATAACTTCCGAAAACTATTAAGATACACAATACTCATTCAAATACTGATCAGTGTCCGAGAGACATGAATTTGATTTTGATTGAAATAAATTTTCGTGCACATACAGAATGAATGGTTAATAATTTAATTTATATGTAGACCAAGCTCTGTGCACGGGATGCTTCCTGGAAGAATCCAGTTCTTTTAGCGGGGCACCCTACCTAAAGCCAAATTGAGATATAATAATCATATTCCTAGAGAAATAATCAGAAATCGAATACCAATCAAATAATATGATATATATGAGTAGTAACCATATTTACTATGCAAAATGCCCCAACCACATAGTGTAAATTTATATAGAATTCAAATTCCATATCATCATTAAACCTCAATACCTAGTCAATATAATAGCCCAAGCAAAATTAAATAACTTCTTATATACCTTACTGTCATACTACAAATTAATTAAACATTTGAAATCTGTTGACCAGAGAATAAATTTCTAAGCCTAATGCAAGTGAAATAATTTAGATGCAATAATGAATGCCTAATGTGAGTATCATTTGTCAATGTCCTTGTAAAAAAGTCTGTACAAGAGATATGAGTAACTAATATAGAAGAAAAAACAGGAAGTTGTCGTCTGTTGTAAAATAAATAAAATATCTAGAATATAAATTAGAATATAAAATAACATTCAGTCAATGTGTCGTAATAAACTGTACAATTATCAAATGTTAAAACTGGGTGATACAGTCACCAAAAAAAAATACTAAGTATGATAAGTTAATAAATTAAATGTGGTCTATAAAACTACCACTAAGTATAATAGGTCAATAAATTAAAAGTGGTTTATAAAACTACCACTGTGGGAACCCCTTCTCCAGTTAAAACATGTCAGTCATGTGCAAAATCAATCAGAATGGTAAGGTGGTAAAAAAGGGAATATCTTTTCGATACATCAATTATATATGCCTCAGATTTAAAAGAATTAGAAGTTACTTAGTTATCGGCGACTATGATTGCAGTGTAAAATTTGTCATATGAATTGTCGACGGTATAATTAGGGTCTGTTGTTATAGATGAT